GTTAATCATGACCCCTCTTTAAATCTTCAGGGTTACCGCCTTTGTCTATCAAATTGGGTAATTGGTATTGAGATGTGGGTGGCAGTTCACTTTGAACTATTTGTCCGTCTGGTTTTTGTGGGAGAGGAAGAAGATGAATTAGAGCCAGAGCGAAAAGAAATGCGGGAGAAAGATCTTAAAAGTCTAGACATTATAAAAATATATCTGGCTCATTACCTTCATTTGGTTCATAACAATACATCTGTTAATCATTCATAACTTGTTCGACTGGATCTGGTTATTTGTAGACTTTTTTTATTTTTTTTACGAAATTCTGAAATTCTTTTACCATAGCCACCAGCTTCTTATGTTCTTAGTTTCTTTTGAATACAGCATCGTCAAATTAGCCTTACTGCCCTTTCATCCATATGGGTCTTACTGCTACAGCCCTATTCAAAAGAACTATAAACTGCTGTACTTCCAGTAAAGGATTTTCATAAACTTTAAAACTGTACAAAAGCAATATTTCAGAACTATTAGTTCGTGGCGTTGTTACAGACAGGGACAACCATTACTGGTCTCACCCGAAGGGCCTGTCAGCTGTCCAGCCTATAAACTATGGTTACAGAAATTTCATAAAGAAATTTAAAGTCCAGATCCAGAAGAACATAGCTAGAAACAATTAACAGTTCATGACCTTATAATATGAGTATATATATATACTCATACTCATTTAGACATGTCCAGACTCACAAGCACACTAGTACATCCAGCACTTTGATATACATCACATATTTTATTCACTATATCATATTTATACAAACCAAACAGTCAAATGAATATATCATTCCATTCTAACCACAGATAACACGACTCACAATATATCTATCAATATCATAACTATACCACAATGCTCTCATAGCACAAAATATATTTTCTAATAAAAAGACAAAGTAGAGCTCTCCTTACTTCAAGATTATGGTTCGAAAAGAGATTGATGAAAAGTATTGCTCAAACACAAAAGTTTTCCCTAGGATCATAAGGTACTCTTAGGAAATAGAAAATGAACTAAAATGATCGGAGAACCTAAAATCAATCTATGAGAAACACACCTTGAATTTACTGAGATCAAACACCTAAGCTTGGATTTGAAGAACAATTGATTTTGGAGGGGCTTATCTGAGTAAAGGAAATGGGATTTTAGAGAAGAAACGGGAAAAGAATGTTAATGTGAATTTTTCATGCTTTAAATCCCTTAAATACCCTTCAGATTTCGCACTCTCGCTTAAGTGAGCCCATTCTCGCTGGAGCGAGAAAACATCCAGAGAGTTTGGACATTTTTCCTGTGAGTCATCACCTGGGCGAGATCCTATCTTTCTTGAGCGAGATCACTATCACCTAGGCAAAGGACGGTTGGGTCATGTCTACCCTGTCTTGTCTGAGCGAGGGTTGCCTCGCTTGAGCGAGAAAGCTCAAGAGAGCTTAGTTCATACCAACTTCATCTCGCTTGAGGGAGACACAGCTCGCTTAGGCGAGAAACTCTGCATTAGAAATCTATCAAATGCTTAATAATTCAGTCCAAAACACCTTCTATCATTACCTAATATCAAAGAAAACCATTAATTCATAATAAAATAAAAAGAGGCTGTTACATTTTACACTTGCCCCAAACTATATTGTTTATGTTAATTGTATAATACTTTTCTTGCATTGTTAGATGTCAGAGGAAATATTAGAAATTAATGCAAGAATTATTGAGAGTACAAGAAAAATAAAAAAGAGAAAACTAGTGTTAGATGCAACAGGGTGATAAAGACCTAGTAAAAAGTATACTTTTGATACAATTATATAATGTGACTGATGAATATTTCTATAATCAATTACGTCTTACTAAATAAGCTTTCTTTGAGCTTTGCAATATTTTTCGTGAAAGAGAAGGACTACATGATACTTATTATCATGTAACCATTAAAGAGTATGTTGCAATGTTTCTTATTTTAGGTCATGGTCTCAAAATAAGAGTGCTCGGAAGCACTTATATTCAATTTATATTTTTAATTTCAAAAATTATATTATATTTATGAGCATTCATATGCTTTCATCTAATTTATGAAAAAGATAGTTCATGACATAATATTAAATTTTAATGATAAATTAAACATAAAAAATAAATTTATTATGTCATGATTTTTGAAAAAAAACTATTAAGTTATCATTTTTAACAATTTATTTAATAATTTTATATTTTTAATTGACACATTATTTTTTAAAAAAAGTTATTAAATAAAATTTTAATACAAAATTGAATTATTTTTTAAAAATTTAGATCTAATATCATATTATAAAATTTGATTTCAACTTAAAATTCTAATTTTACATTCTAACTATTTAAGTATGTCAAACGTAGAATTATAATTCTGAACCAATTTTAATTTTGAAGGAATTGGAATTATAATTCTAAATATCAATTCTGATTCCATGAACCAAACAAAGATTTTTCATAAGTAGAAATATATTAAATTAATAACTCAAGTCTACAAACTTATTGATCAATGTACTTTTTAAACTTCTAACCATCAAATTTATTAGCAACAACTTCTAAGTTACATTTATTTACTAGTGTGTTACTAAGCCATATGCACCCTTAGTTTTCTTATTTATGTTCATACATTTGTTTATGTGGTGTGTCACTAAGTCATGTGCATCCTTAGTTTCCTTATTTATGTTCATGGTAAGGATAACTTAGTCTATTTTAGAATTGTCCACACTCTTTCTTGTGACATTATTATGGTTTTTTTCTCTCTCTTTTTTATCCTTTTTAAAAAAAATTATTTTTTTTGTTTTGTTATTTTCATGGAAACTTAAATGGACGATAAATAATTCTTGTTAAATTCGCTTATGCTTTCTCTCTCTACACTCGAATTATGTTTAAGCTTAATTTTAGTTAATTTGTTTTACTAAAATTAGTGATGTAGATCATTTAAGTAAAAATAAAATTGAACTTTCATTTTGCAACAAGGATATTCTAATATCAATTAATTTAGTCTTAGTGTCACAACAAACATACTTATTGTCCTAACTTTTAAATTCCAAGATTCACTTTTTTGTTTGACTATCATTTTTAACCACACAAATAATTACTTATAAGTTAACACCATACTAGTTTCATCATCATGGATTTGTCTATTTCAAATTTTCCAGATTTTATGCATCAAATTTTCAAATTCATAACTTATTCACTACAACTCCAAAAATTAGGAAATCAACGAGGTTTTTTTTTTCTTTAAGTGTTTATTTTTATATAAAAATTTAAACATAATTTAGACACTCTATGCTATTCACACATTTTTCATAATCTAGTTTATTGAAAATTCCATAACTAATTGGTTATGCCTCTAAAAAGATCATGAAATCAATGAAGTTATAATCCTTTAAGTTCCTATTATCATTAAAAAATATGCTGATAATTCAAGTCATTCTTTATATTTGTAGGTCATAAAGTACCATGTTTTAATATCAAATTTTTAGAAAAATTATAACTTATTCATTTTAAATTCAAATGTTATAAAATCAGTCAAGTTGTTCTCTTTTAAATTTAAAAGTTATAAATTTAGTCAGGTTGTTCTCTTCTATATATCTATTTTCAAGGAACGTCATTCAATTTATTTGCTTAATATTTATGACTTTTAAAAAAAGTTGTTTAATCTAAAAAACTGTCTATTTAACATAAAAATATCTTTATATATATATATATATATATATATATATATATATATAATATAGGCCTAAAATTGTATATAAATTTAAAAATTGAAATAAATTATATATACATATATTAACAGATTATAATAAATATTTAATATAATATCATCATTATTATATTGTGTGTGCTTATTTAAATAGATAAATTTATTCAATTTAAACAACATTGTTTAAAAAAAAAAAAGGCTCGTTTGCTACTTAAGATAAGAAGATTTATTCTATCTTAGTTTATTTTAAGTATTGATTGAATAACAAGATATAATATTTTATCATATTTTATAGTTTAATTTCTTTTCTCAAGGGGTTAAAAAATATTGGATATGATAACTTTTTTTCTATTATCTTCTTTTTATATTCTATGCATATTTTTATAAAAAAAATTAATTTTAATATAAATTTTAATATTTTTACTAAAATATAAATATAATTTTTTTATAATTTATTTTCATTCCAATTATAATTTTTCAAAGATAAATTTTAATTATAAAAAATGAATTTTCTTAAAATTTAATATTAGAATTTTAATATTATATATACACACACAAAATTAATTTATTATTTTTTATTAAAAGGTCAAAAAGTTAAAAAAAATACTATATTAACTTTAATAAAAAATAATTTTATCATTTAAATATAAATTTATTTTGTTTTATTATTTTTTTATATTTTATTTTTAGTTTCTCATCTAATTTAATTTAAATTTGATTTGAGTCATACACCTAGATATTTTAATATATTATGCATTTATTTTATTACATGGATATGACAAATATTGTCCGCGCCACCCCTACCAAATACGATAACATGATATTGTTCACTGTAATGTTTTAATGTATATTAACTATTGAATATGATAAGAGTTTATTATATTTTATTTTTATTCAACTATATGCCTATTATTTTTTTATCTTGTTAACAAATTTTTAGCAATGTTTAAGTTATTTAATAAACGAATTGATTTGATTAACATAAATGTAAAATGGTTGAGTCGTAATTCCATACTGATTTGATTAACATTTTTTAAAAATTCGAAACTAGTTCTATGCTTATTTATGATGAGTAATATGTAAATGTTCCCTTAGTTACTTACTAATGATAATATAAAAAATTATTGGATCTGAAAAGTTACAGGACCAAACTTCGAGAAGTACAGGCACCCGTTAGTTTTTTCGAAGCTTGATACATAGTATTTTGAAAATTGAAAGGCTGAAATAGAAATTTAGAGGAAAACAAAAGTTGATGGCAATGAAACGCTGCGTTTAGACTCGGAGGATGGAAGGGAGGAGTGGGAATGCGAAGATATTGGTAGGGGTGGCGGAGTTAGGGTTTCCCTCCATTTACAGCGCACGCCCGATTCCCCCTTTCTCTCATTTCCCCTAACTCTCACATTATTGTGTGATACGGTACCATTTTTTCTTCCTTCATTTTCCGATTAACCTTCACATCTCACTTTTTTTAATGTTGCGGTGTGGCTTTTAGCTCAATTTTTCCTTACTTTTTCTTTTTCTGTAATTAGTTGTTCATTCATATGTAGCGTTTGGGGTGCTGATAATAACAACGAAAATTGTTGGTTCACCTTTATTAGGGACGTGCCTGAGATTGCCAATAGAGTAGTAGTTTGTATTCTATGGTCACGGTCGTTTCATTTTCTGTTATCATGTGTCATAAGCCATTGAGGAAATGTGGACTTGTATTTATCGTCTTTGCTGTTTAGACTTTGCTTTTATTTTATTTATTACAAGTGATGATGGTATATTATTATACGCAAGAAAAGAACTAGTCTGTTCTTCTTTTTCCCATTTGTTAACTTACGATATTGGCTGTGTTTTTTTTTTTTTTTTATCTGTTTGTGACAGCTAATTGTTTTTCACTTTGTTTATCCCCCCTAAAATATTGGGCAATCCGGTCACTGGAAAAGATACAGGATGTCTGAAGAGGCTGGATCTATGTTGGTAGTTTACGATGATCCCTCTGACCAACGCTCACTGTCTTTGGACGATGCAAGCAGCACAGAGGAGTCACCTGATGAAACCAGGCTCTCCTTAGAAACAACTAATGATGCTATTCCATATATTGGTCAAAGATTTGCCACTCACGACGCTGCTTATGAATTCTATAGTGAATTTGCCAAGAGGAGTGGTTTTTCTATTAGACGTCACCGGACGGAGGGAAAAGATGGTGTTGGAAAGGGACTTACTAGGCGCTACTTTGTTTGTCACCGTGCTGGCAACACTCCTGTTAAAACATCAACTGAAAGTAAACCTCAAAGAAATAGAAAATCTTCTCGCTGTGGGTGTCAGGCTTACATGCGGATAAGCAAAACAACAGAATTTGGATCTCCAGAATGGCGCGTGACTGGTTTTGCAAACCACCATAATCATGAACTTTTAGAACCAAACCAAGTTCGATTCCTTCCCGCATACAGAACTATCTCGGATGCTGACAAGAACCGAATACTCATGTTTGCCAAAACAGGGATTTCTGTTCATCAAATGATGAGGCTTATGGAGCTTGAGAAGTGTGTGGAACCTGGATATTTGCCATTTACTGAAAAGGATGTAAGGAATTTACTCCAGTCATTTAGGAAATTAGATCCCGAAGAAGAAACCTTAGATTTATTAAGAATGTGCAGAAATATTAAGGAGAAAGATCCTAATTTTAAATTTGAGTATACACTTGATGCAAACAGCCGTTTGGAGAACATTGCCTGGTCATATGCTTCATCAATACAATTGTATGATATATTTGGTGATGCTGTGGTGTTTGATACCACACACCGGCTAACTGCATTTGACATGCCACTAGGGATATGGGTTGGAATAAATAATTATGGTATGCCTTGCTTTTTTGGCTGCGTGCTTCTACGAGATGAAACTGTGAGGTCATTTTCCTGGGCACTGAAGGTAGTTTAATAAAGTAATAATCAATATTAATATCTTTTAGTTTTTTATTCAAATTATGTTGTGGCCTCTTAGATTTTTTTATTGAACTGCTGGTCTGGCTTAATGAAAATAAACTAAATGGAAGGAGAAGGACAGTAAATTTTAAATTGAAGATTAAGGCCTAGTTTGGTTAAACTTTTAGATAAGTCTTTATAGGAGAGGAAAATCAATATAAAAAATAAATAAAACTTTTCTCATAAGTTAAAAGTAAATTATACTTGTTAAGTTTTAAAGAAGTTAAATGAGAGAACTTCTAAATAAATAAAGAAGTATAGGTTGGTTTTAACTTACGAAAGGAGTTTGATTTATTTTATTATTTAATTTTTACTCTTATAAGTAATTATTGATAAGGTTATCTAAACTAGGCCTAAGTAGTATTCATAAACAGTGGGGCAGTTACTAATGTGCAGATGGTCATAAATTGAAGCCTATTAAAAGGTTGCCACTGCTGAGGGTTTCTTGTTGAGTTGTCTAAACTTTGGTAAATGTACATAAGAACCTTATATCAGTGTCCTGTTTTCGATTCTTCTGAAATGGGCAATATTGTGACTGAGAATTTCTTTCTTTATATTTTCACTCACTTGTGTAAACTATTAATTTTTGAGAAGTTCTACATCTCTTTAATTTACATAAGTGTTTCTTTTGTTTTTCTTTCTTTTTTTATCACCTTCTTGGAAGGCTTTCTTAGGGTTTATGAATGGGAAGGCTCCACAGACTATATTAACCGACCAAAATATATGTCTCAAAGAAGCACTATCCACAGAAATGCCGACAACAAAACATGCTTTCTGCATATGGATGATCGTAGCAAAGTTTCCATCATGGTTTAATGCAGTTCTAGGGGAACGCTACAATGAATGGAAGGCTGAATTTTATAGACTTTATAACCTTGAGTCAGTTGAGGATTTTGAGCTAGGCTGGAGGGAAATGGTTTGTTCTTTTGGGCTGCATTCCAATCGGCACATGGTTAATTTATATAGCTCACGCTCTCTTTGGGCGTTGCCATTTTTGAGAAGCCATTTTCTTGCAGGCATGACTACAACTGGTCAGTCAAAGTCAATTAATGCTTTCATTCAACGATTTCTGAGTGCACAAACTCGGCTTGCACACTTTGTTGAGCAGGTATTGTATCATTCTGTCTCTCTTGATTTGGGTTTAGTTAAACAGGTTTCAATGAGTATTCATAGATTTAAGTTTTATCCTATTTTTAGAGAGAAAACTTCTCAATCTTTCTGTTAACTTGGGTTTGCGCAATCAGGTAGCTGTTGCTGTGGATTTTAAAGATCAAACTGGAGAACAACAAACCATGCAGCAGAATCTCCAAAATGTTTGCCTGAAAACAGGGGCCCCAATGGAATCACATGCAGCCACAGTCCTTACTCCTTTTGCCTTTTCAAAGCTTCAAGAACAACTTGTGTTGGCTGCACATTATGCATCTTTTTCAATTGAAGATGGTTTTCTTGTGAGGCATCACACAAAAGCTGAGGGAGGTCGGAAAGTTTATTGGGCCCCTCAGGAAGGAATTATAAGTTGTAGTTGCCACCAGTTTGAGTTCACTGGTATTCTCTGCAGGCATTCTCTTAGAGTTCTTTCAACAGGAAATTGCTTTCAGATCCCAGATAGATATCTTCCCATTAGGTGGCGTCGAATCAGCATGCCTTCTTCTAAGCTTATCCAAAGTGCACCAAATGATCATGCCGAAAGAGTTAAGTTATTACAAAATATGGTTTCATCTTTGATTACAGAATCTGCTAAATCTAAGGAACGGTTAGATATTGCAACAGAACAAGTTTCCATCCTTCTGTCTCGCATACGAGAGCAACCAATTTCCTTACAAGGTATCAGAGAATTTCCTTCCGTGAATAGGAATCTTTGACTCCAGGATACAAAATATGACTGAGTTGTTGGTCTGGTTCAATGAATGGGAATTACACCAAAATGTTAGTGACAAAGCATAGTATCATATTGATTGGATTTATCATGCTTAATTGAAACTATTTGAAGAGGGATAGAAGCTGTTTATTGGCTTGAACTTCTGCAGTGAAATTTCTGTAGATTGGTAAACACCAAGTTGCAGTGTATGACAAGGATTCTATTCTGTACAAAAATGTATAGGAAATTTGTTCATCCGCATCCTTTATTTGCTATCTATCTGCCATTTAGACGATACAGTGATTTTAGCGGGATTTCAAGATCATAATGTAAGAACCCTCTCAACCCAAAGATCCCATTAAAATGCGGTCGAGTTTGTTATCGTTGATGTATAAAACATAGAATAACTGAAGAAATTTTCAATTCTAATTTTCACTTCATCTTGCCGATTATATTATCTTCCCTTATGCTTTTTGTTTTGATAATTAATGGAGGAGTTTAATTCGTAATAACAAATTACTTAGGAATCTGCTGAAGCGCCTGAGAAGCAGAAGCATGAAGAGGCCAAATGAGAAGACTCAAATATGACTTCGTTGATATTCTCAAAAGTTTACGTAACTTTACCTCAGCTCACAAACATGCAAAAAGTTTTAATAAGAAATAAAAATGGATTCTAATTTAGAAATGTATAGGCTTTTGATCCTATGTTCCTTTTAACAATATAATTCTCATTTTATTCCACATTACATTGTATTTCATTCATGGAGTTATTTTTGCATAGTGGAATTTTGTAAATGTTGTATTCATTTGACAACAAATGCATTATTTTATTTGATATAAAAGCTTGCAAGTTGTCCTTTTTAAATGGTGGAAAAATTAAATCAGGTGTAAGTTGTGGACGAGTGTTGAGATACGATGTAATCTATAAAGATATAATTTAATTCTCTTTTATTATAACAATATCTTAGAAAAATTGAGAACAAAAGAAGTGATCACTTCATGCATGTGAAAATATCGAACAACTTCCGAGTCTGTTTGGAAAATCGTCGTAACTCCATTTTTGAGGAAGCAAAAAATTTATACTTAGATAGAATATTACTGAAAAGTGTGTTTCTCCATATGAACGGAGAAACAAATATGTGATTACTTCAGTTTGTTTTAAACTTATGTTAACTCTATGATTTATGCTTGTTTAAGACTTGTTATGCTACTTTTTAATTTATGTCGAGCATGTACCATTTTAATTTGAATATGTTGTGTAATAAATTTTGATATTATATTTGGATATTTTATTTGTTTGTGTTTATTTACCGTATGTGAGCCCTTTAAGTGGGTTCAGTATAATAATTTTCCTCCACATAACTTCAATTTGCTGCTTTAAGGAACGGGTTGAATCCTAAAATACACTAAAATCCATATATTCAAGTCGTTGGGTCGAAGGACAAAATTCCTTAGTCCAACTTAATCAAACTTGAATCATTATTTTGAATAACCAAAGCCCACTTAGTTTATACGATATGAACTAAATAAACACCAGTCTTTTAGTGAGGCACACACCCATTCCTGACTATATAACAATCATGTATGCCTATTTAATGTTAATTTTGCTCACTTTTTTTTTTATTCTAAAGAATGTGCCTGAATTTGTTGCTTTATTCATTCTAAAGCAAAATAATTTTTAAAAAAATGCCAGATTCGTTACTTTTGCTGTGAAAGTTACCCAACCCAACGTTTGGTCTCAAGTTCATAGGATTGGGTCTATGGCTACAACCAAGGATATAATACTTGCTGATGGTATTTATATTGCCTGTCAAGGAGATTACTACACGAGTAGATTGAACTTGGTCCTTTCACAAGCACTGTGTTTCATTCTTATCAGTTGAACAGTTAAGCAGAATTTGGTTTTCCAGATAGAAAAGCCATCCTTCAGAAAACCAAAAATAGACCCATAATCATCAACCCTATGCAATATTTCAAGGATGAATAGATAATTTATTAATTAAAAACAGCATGCAGGAATGATGCATTATTTATGTCACAAGAGACGGATCCGTTTGTTACAAAGTTGTGGCTAATAATACTACTTTCCAGTTACAAAAGTTACGTGAAAATGCAAAGGAAAATCCCACTGAAACTTTGACAACCTATATATGTCTCCTAGTCAAAGCTATACATTCGATTCCTCTATCTACATTAACACTTTACGTTTCAGCCTGATCTAACAGTAATCCAATTCCCTGATGACTCTGATGCACTGTCTTCCAGTTGACATATTGATGTTCCTTCTGGGTCATTGTGATATGTGAACGAGTTTATGAATGAGAAATCATTCCCCTCTGAATATTCCAATTCATCTAAATCATATGTATCCTCAAAGTTTTGAAACTCCAAGACACTTGCGGGTGAGGAAGCACACTCTTTAGGAGATGTAGTTGATGAAACAAATGGATGGCTAAGTAACTCCTCAACGGTGCACCTTTTATTGGGCTCTCTATCCAAACATCTGGCCAAGAAATCCAAACCCTCTGGAGAGAAATGGGTTGGAAACTGAGGTATGTCATCGCCATGGGCAATCCTGAGCACAGCAGACATTGGATTTGAAACCTCATTAGCCCAAGGAGGCCTGCCAGTAGCCATCTCAATAACTGTACATCCCAAAGACCATATATCTGCAGCAAATTCCAGCATCCCACTCCTCAATACTTCAGGAGCCATCCATAGAGGAGTCCCACCAATAGACTTCCAAGAATTTGCCACATTTCCACCACCCCTTAACTCCTTTACCCGTTTTGCACATCCAAAATCTGCCAACTTGATGTTGCCAAATGAGCCCAAAAGCACATTCTTGCACTTAAGGTCACAATGCACAATCCCATGTTGATGAAGATGCTTTAACCCGAGAAGAATTTCTCTGGTATACACCCTAACCACATCTTCATCTAATGACCCACCAAACTTGTGTGCCACATCTGCCAAATTACCCCCTGCCATATACTCCATAAAAACATTAAGGTTGCCTTCATCCTCCTCTGTCCCCAAACAATGGACAATATATGGTGATGAATTCAAACTCTTCAGTATTTCGACCTCTTTTTTTAAAGCCCCATGTCCAGCCACTGAATGTGCTGATTTCACAACAAAAAGTCCACCAGTGGATTTGTTCATGGCCAAATGGACAGTGCCAAAAGATCCAGATCCAACCAGTTTCCCCTTCACCCATTCACTTGGTTTAGGCGACACACATTGACACATTGAAGCCATGTCATGTCAATTATCATAAGGGCGCCCAAAAATCTTCGATCAGTCTCTCCAATCAAAGAAAATTAACCAACTACAGAGGCTCCAAAAGGAACCCTTTTTCTTTTCAAATTACAAACACCAAACAAACAACTCATCAGATGAACAAAAACAAGAATACAACCAAAGTGTCAGCAAGATTTGATAACAAAATGAGAGTGCTTAGAGCGGTTTCCCATAAACCGGAAAACCGCCCTAAGGAGCGAACCTTTTCTATCAGTACTAAAACAAACGCTTTGTTTGAGTTTTGGTTGCAGAAGATACGACGAAGCAAACAAATGAATTGAAAATGAACCCAACGAAATTATAAAAGGGACCGCTTTTTGCCGTTGGCTTTTGGCGGTTGGCTATCCTTAATTCTTGGAACTACCTCTCTCTTTCAGTGTTTTAAGACAACGTAGTATATTAGGTATAAGGCATATGCATGTGTAATAACGGTATACGTACAATACACCACTGAACTTGCACACAAAAGGCTTCATGCTAAAAGACAAATATATTTAACATGTTTTCTTAGGCTATTGAAGACGGTTTGAACGAATCAAATGGAGACATGTTCTTATTTAGCAATTTTGTCATATGTAATTTTTATTATTTGTGTTAGGCCTTTTATAGTTTAGCACGAAATTTAGAAAAATGGAACCATTATATGCAGAAAATTTTATTATTAGCATATTCATATCTTCAAGCAATATGATTGTTTAACAATTGATTAGAATGGACAATATTTTTTCTGAAAAAATGGCTCCGTTAAAGGTGAAAACAACTAATAAGTAGCACAACTGATTGATACTTTAAATAGATTTTTTTTTTTTTTTAGAGTGTGTTTAGGAGGAGATTTTTGAAAGGGAAGAGAACGGATGACATATTTTTAAATTTCAAATTAAAAAATATATATAATTTATGACGAAAAATACATTATTAATACATTAAATTTTTGTTAATATATTAATTTATATCTTTTATTTTTTAAAAATATTTATTTAAAATATAAATTTATATTCTCTCCTCCCTTTCCCTTCAAAATTTCTCTTCCCAAACAACCTCTTAATAAATAAGTTTGTCAGAAACTTTGCAAAGTTTATCAGGTTAAAAAACATAATTTTCAAACTATCAAAACGAATTTTACAAATTTGATAGGCCAACTTATTTAATTAAAAAATTATTACTATTTAATTCTATTAACTATTTAAAAGTTCAGGTCCATTACTTTATCTAAAAACTTGTTGTCTTATTTAAAAGTTTTATTGCAAGTAGATTTTTAGGTTAGGTCATTTTTATAATTAAGCCATACATTAAAAACAACAAGTCTATGCTATATAAATAAGTTAAACTCAATTAACATAACAATTATTCAATTTGACCCATTATAACCCTGTTTCAGTGTGAAAGGATTGAAACAAATAAACTATATAACATAATATCATATGCTGGCACTTAACTTTAATTTCAAGAGGAAATATTAAAAAAATATATTGCATTAAATCAATAGTAAAATAATATTTTATTATATATTTTAATTTATTATAATTACTATATTATAAAGCATAAAATTATAGTTTATATCTTTATAAATTTTTCTATAACCATTCAATAATTATATATTAGTATGAATTCATGTAGATTAATTTTTAATAATATTAAAAATTTAATTTAAATATACTGATAATGTAATTTTTTTAATATTATTATCCAATCATAATTTGTCTGTAAAAATTATTATAATTTTTCATGATTAATATAAAAATATTAATAATGTATTCTAATGGGTTAATAGTGTAATAATAATAATAATAATAATTATTATTATTATTATTATAAGTACAATTCTTGAATGAGGATGATTTTAAAAAATTAAATAAAAATATTTTTAGAATTATTCTTTATAATATCAAGTGATTTTTTATATATTATATTTTATTTTAATTTTTTAATATTACAGAAATTTTATTATTAATAACTATAATATTTTTTAATTTATAAATTTTGTTAAGAACAATATTTAACTTAATGATAGCAATGTAATGCATAATAAAATTACCAGTAATAATAATTTTTTCCTATATTATTTAACAAAGGTTATACCTCCTTACAATGTTAGAACTTTAATTTTAATTACTGTTATTCACTTTTTTACACATTTTTTATAATATATATTGTTTCGTTATAAATATTTACTTATGATATAATATTAAATATTTTACTACATTATAAAATATTTTATTAAATATAATCAAAGCAATATTTTAATTTAGTATAATTATATGTTATAGAACATAAAAAATTTATAATTTTACTAATATGAAACCCTTTATTACATGATAATATCAAAAAATAATTTATTAGTTAAAAATAATTTTTAAAATGAATTATCAACAAATTCGTATTTTTATAATATTTTCATTAATAATAATTGTAAATAAAATGAATTTTATCATCCCCGCCGGAATGAAAACAAGTAATAATAATATAAATAAACGATTGATTTTGTTGGCTCAACTGGAACCCTAATTCACTCGCTCCTATCCACCACTGCCAGCTTTGGATTCGGTTCGGAATCAGGTTCGGCCTTTTCTTCTGTTTCTCCGTTCTCACCTCATCTTTATCATTGTTTCTGCTATCGAATTTCTGATCTTTATTCTCTGCCATGGATTCATATTCTGCGCTATTTATCATTTCCTTTGCTTTGTACCTTATTTTACAGTTTAAGCGCTGTCTGAGTTGTTGTGTGGTTGCCTCTAACTATAATATGTATTTATTTTCTGATTCATGACCGATTATGTTAACTTCCCTGATTTGATTAGTCCGTTTTAGATCATATCTGTCCCAATCCCACATCTGCTCTTTCATTCTCACACGTCTTTTTGGCTGCTGAAAATTTGTCCCTTGAGTCGTTCATTTGATGTCTGGTTCTGGAGAACGCATATGTAGATATAGATAACACTCACAACGAACAAAACATGTTGTGCTTTTATTAATATGATATAAGATGAATCTCATGAACATATAAGTAAGTTGGATCTTGTTATCTATTTGGGAAATTGATTGAAAAATAGTGAATATCTTTAAATCTTGAATTCCAATCTTGTGATAGGGTTATTTATTTGTGCTAAGATAGGTGCAGTAATTAAGCTTTATTGGAACTAGTTGACATAAATTAACATGATTGCATCTTGTTTCAGTTTACTACAATGGGAAGGAAAAAGACAGAGGATGCAGGCCCATCTGCTAAAACTAAGGGAAGTAGCAAAGATGCTTCTAAGAAGGAAAAATTTTCTGTCTCTGCCATGCTGGCCAGTATGGATGAAAAGCCTGATAAACCTAAAAAAGTCTCTTCCTCTAGTAAGCCCAAGCCAAAAGCTGCTCCAAAAGCTTCAACATACACTGATGGTATTGATCTTCCTCCATCTGATGATGAAGATGATGAAGTTCTCTTGGAAGATGAGCAACAGCAAAATAATGTGCCTAAGAGGTCCAGTCAGACTCAGAGGCCTGAATTGAAGCCACTTGAGGTGTCTATTGCAGACAAAGAGTTGAAAAAGCGTGAGAAGAAGGATATTTTAGCTGCCCATGCTGCAGAGCAAGCAAAGAAGGAAGCTCTTAAGGATGATCACGATGCTTTCACTGTGGTGATTGGAAGCCGGGCTTCTGTGCTTGATGGAGAAGATGATGCTGATGCTAATGTCAAAGATATAACAATAGAAAATTTCTCTGTGTCTGCTCGTGGTAAAGAACTTCTGAAGAATGCATCGGTGAAGATATCTCATGGGAAGAGGTATGGTTTGGTTGGGCCCAATGGAAAGGGGAAGTCCACACTGTTGAAGCTTCTTGCTTGGAGGAAGATACCAGTACCAAAGAATATTGATGTGCTTTTGGTCGAGCAGGAGGTAGTCGGTGATGAAAAAACAGCACTTGAAGCAGTTGTTTCAGCTAATGATGAACTTGTTAAAATTCGACAAGAAGTTGCCTCTCTGCAGAATGCAGCTTCTATTGAAGAAAGTGTAGACAGAGATAATAATTATGAGGAAGATGATACAGGAGAGAAATTAGCAGAGCTTTATGAAAAACTACAACTGATGGGATCTGATGCTGCTGAAGCTCAGGCATCAAAGATTTTAGCTGGTTTGGGTTTTACAAAGGATATGCAGGGTCGTCCAACAAAATCCTTCAGTGGTGGCTGGCGGATGAGAATTTCTTTAGCTCGAGCACTATTTGTGCAACCAACTCTATTATTGCTTGATGAACCCACAAATCATCTTGACCTGAGGGCTGTTCTCTGGTTGGAAGAGTATTTGTGCCGTTGGAAGAAAACTTTGGTGGTTGTCTCACACGATAGAGATTTTCTCAACACAGTTTGTACTGAGATTATTCATCTTCATGATTTGAAACTTCACTTCTATCGTGGAAATTTTGATGATTTTGAGAGCGGGTATGAACAGCGTCGAAAAGAGATGAATAAGAAGTATGAAATTTATGACAAACAGTTGAAAGCAGCTAAAAGGAGTGGAAACCGGGTTCAGCAAGAAAAGGTTAAAGATCGAGCTAAGTTTGCAGCAGCTAAGGAAGCTTCTAAAGGCAAAGGCAAGGGCAAGGTTGATGATGATGATGCCCCCCTAGAGGTACCTCAGAAGTGGAGGGACTACAGCGTGGAGTTCCACTTTCCTGAACCTACTGAGCTCACACCTCCACTTCTGCAGCTTATTGAAGTGAGCTTCAGCTACCCAAACAGGGAGGATTTCAGGCTCTCAAATGTTGATGTTGGCATTGATATGGGAACTCGTGTTGCCATTGTTGGGCCTAATGGCGCTGGAAAATCTACATTGCTAAATCTTCTGGCCGGTGATCTGGTTCCGTCTGAGGGTGAAGTTCGAAGGAGTCAGAAGTTGAGGATAGGAAGATATTCCCAACACTTTGTGGACCTTCTAACTATGGATGAAACACCTGTTCAGTATCTTCTTCGTCTCCATCCAGATCAAGAGGGACTTAGCAAGCAGGAGGCTGTCCGGGGAAAACTTGGTAAGTTTGGGTTACCTAGTCATAACCATCTTACTCCTATTGCCAAACTATCGGGAGGGCAGAAAGCCCGGGTGGTCTTCACATCAATATCCATGTCAAAACCCCACATTTTATTGTTAGATGAACCCACCAATCATTTGGATATGCAAAGTATTGATGCATTGGCTGATGCACTGGATGAATTCACTGGTGGAGTTGTTCTTGTTAGTCATGACTCAAGATTGATATCACGTGTGTGTGAGGACGAAGAAAGGAGCCAAATCTGGGTTGTGGAGGATGGTACTGTTAAAACTTTCCCCGGCACATTTGAGGACTACAAAGACGACTTGCTGAGAGAGATCAAAGCTGAAGTTGATGATTGAGCTTCTTTTTCTGAGAACAATTTATTCACTGTGACAATTTTCCATAATACATCTACATTCCTGCCTCTTGTATGAATGCTTTTTGTGAGACTCCGGTTTCTGGGATTCCAAATTTAACGTGAGTTCAGAAGAATATACAGGAACGTGTAGCTTAAAATGTTATGATTAAATAAACATCCGAAATTTTCCGATTATGTTGTTTCTATGCGCCACCCTCCCTCTTTCTGCAAATCACTACCTGAACAACGTGTCTTCTAATTTAATCAAACATTTCTGAACGTTTGGCAGACATTTTGGTATGAAAGCGGAGATTGATACGTGTGTAGTGTCAACTTCCGCTTGTCATTTTATTCTTCTATTGAATTAGTTTGTATTTGTACCATTGAGTCGACGAAGGAACACTTCTCATAGTTTTGAGGGTGCTGTCTAACATGCATCCTTATTGTGTAGCCTTTGATTAGCATAAAATTTTATTTAGGGTTGATATGAATTTCCGGTAAAATACCAAATAAAGTAGCATAAATTAAAATAAAAGTAGCAAATATACCAAAAGCATTAAATAATAATAATAATAATAATAATAAAGGTTATGATATTGGTGACGATCACGATAAGTACAAGCAAGAAAAATGTATTTTAATAAACTAAATTAATGAGAGAAAAAAATGAATCAATGCACTAAACTAAAGAGTGTGTATTGTAAAATTTACTTTATTTTGATACTTTCATGAGTGTCATTTAGAGGCATTAAATCAAACTATAAATTTTAAATTGCTAAATTAATTAGAAAAAATCAATTAAATAAAATATTTGATTAAATTAAAAATAGAAATATTATATTGTATATTGTATATTGCATTTTCATTTAAATTTTAGTTATTATTATTATTGAATCCAAATTGAATTGCACAATGTATTTATATTTTTTTACTATATTTTCATATAAAAATATTTTTTTAAATTTTTTTATATCAACGTGTAAATATATAATTCACTACTCTGTTCTCAAAATTTTTGTTTTCTTGAATTGAATTTTATTTTTATTTTTTATTAACCAATTTACTGTTTCTTTCCTTCACTTCAATATTTTGATAAATGTCTCTTTTTTTATTTTTATTTTTTCAACAAATTCATTTAATTTTTGAGTTACTTCTTAATTTAAATAAAAAATTTAAATTAAACGTTATGAACACAAAATAATAAAAAATTTACTCCTGTACTATTTTTGTCCCAAATTGATGTTATCCTTCCTTTCTTTCTCTTATAATCCATCACTTTACATACATTTTGCTAATTAGATTAATATTAATAGTGTCAAGAGAAAATGATAACTATCAGTTATATTATATTATCTGTCTATATCAAGTTGTTATAGGAGTTTGTTATATGTTGAGTCTTATCTCTATAACATAGATCCTATAAATACTCTAAAGATGTATTCTCGAGATATAAAAAAATCACAAAATATTTTCTCATTTTACATTCTATTCTATCTCCATAAGCTCATAATCCTTAACATGGTATCATAGAGCCTATACATCCATAGCTTCCGCAACGCAATCCACTCTTCAAAATCTCACAACACCCATCTCTATCAAACTGGATGATGAGAACTTTCTATTATGATAGCAACAGGTGTTGGCCACCATTCGCAGGTTAAAACTTCAAAAATACATCCAAGGAGATGAAATTTCAAAAAAATTTACTTCCAAAGAAGATGAAGCTAGTGGCAAGATTCAAAAAACATATCTTAACTATGACCAACAAAATCAGCTTCTTGTTGCATGGTTGTTAGCATTAATGTCCTCCCCAATCCTCACCAAGATGGTTGGTTTGGTAAACGCTCATCAATTCTAGAAAACACTGCAGACTTATTATGCATCACAAATAAGAGCCAAAGTCAAGAAATTAAAAGTTCAACTCAGAATGACCAAGAAAGAAAATTCAGTATATGAATACCTATTAGAAATCAAATGAATCATAGATTCTCTTGCAGCGGTAGGCTCCCTAATCTCTGATGAAGACCATATTGAATCTATTCTAGATGGGCTACTTGAGGAGTTTGATTCGTTTGTTACCTCCATCACTTCCAAGTTAGACCCTTACTCAGTTGATGACATTGAAGCCCTACTTTTAGCTCAAGAAGAAAGACTCGACAAACATAAAAAAACAAGAGAGTATGTTAATTCAGGATAACACTGCATCAGGATCTTCTTTTTTAAACAACATTGGTTCAGGCCGAGGCAAGACTAACTCTCAATCATCCAGGGAAGGTTATAACAATCGCGGAGGTAGGAATAATTTCAAGGGGATGGCAAAGGAAATTGAGCTATCAACAATCAACATATATGGAACCAATCCAGACCACAATGTCAAATATGTGGCAAACCAAGACACCTAGCTATAGATTACTGGCACAGGTTCAATCAGGAATATCAAGGAGGACCCCAAGCTCACAATACTCAATATAGTACTCAATCTAATATGCAATCTAATCAACGCATGCTTGCCACTCCCTCCATTGTCATGGATCCTCTTTGGTACCCTAATAGTGGAGTCTCTCATCACATAAATCATGATGAAACCAACCTCTCTCTCCAAGTCAGATTATCAAGGATCAGATTGTGTTAGAATAGGGAATGGTATAGGTTTGAATATTAAGGATGTTGGACAATCAACATTTTATATTCCTTCTTTTAATCATGTCATACTAGATCAACTCTTGCATGTTCCCAGCATAACTAAAAATCTTCTTAGTGTTTCTAAATTTGCACATGATAATTATGTCTTCTTTGAATTTTATCCCACTTATTGTAATGCCAAAACTCAGGATACCAAGTAATTGGTTCTTCAAGGCAGGCTTAAAGATGACCTCTGTCTTTTCTCCATTCCAACATGTTTCTCCCTATTTGGCCTACAACTGCTAAGGATTCTCTTGTCAAGCCCGTATATCTTTGGCATGCAAGATTGGGTCATCTGTCCCTCAAAGTGGTCAGAACTGTTATGCAACAATGTCGAGATCCTTTTACACATAGTTCTAATTCTCTTTTATGTCAAATTTGTTGTATGGGAAAGTCACACCAACTTTCCTTTGATAATTCAAATTTTGTATACTCCTCTCCCCTAGAATTAGTGTTTAGTGACATTTGGGCCCTCCCCTATTCCCTCTTCTAGTAGAGCCAGATCCTACATTGTCTTTGTAGATGTTTATTCTAAGTATACTTGGATATTTCTTTTAAATAATAAATCTCAACCTTTCGATGTCTTTTTACAATTAAAACCACTATTGAGTACCAACTTGGAACTAAACTTAAAGCTTTCCAATCAGACAATACTAAAGAATATTTAAAATTCAGTAAATACTTGAATAAACATGAAATTCGTCACAGATTTTTCTGTCCCTATACACATTAACAGAATGGCTCTCCAGAAAGAAAGCGTAGACATATAACTGAAACAAGCTTAACCCTTCTTGCTGCAGCATCTTTACCCTTTCATTTTTGGGGTGCAATCTTCCTTACTGCCTCCACCCTTATCAACACTCTTCCCACACCTACCCTACATAATCTAAGCCGCTTTGAAACCCTTTATAAAAAACAACTTGATTACAAGTTCCTCAAAATCTTTGTGTGTGCACGCTATCCCTTACTAAGACCCTTTAACCAACATAAACTAGACTTCAAGTCTCAAATGTGTCTTTTCCTTGGATATAGTCCTCAATATAAAGGATATATTTGCTTAGTGCCCTCAAGAAAAACATACATCTCTAGACATATGACTTTTCATGAATATGTTTTTCCATATAAACTATCTGATAACCCCTTCCTACAAACTCCTGAATCTTCATTAACTCATACTATATCTCCATCTTATATTTCCATTACAACCTGCTCCCTTGCATGTCCAACATGATAATATTCCATCTGTCACTTTACCTATTGTGTCTGTTGAGAATAATGACTTTATTAATGCATCTGTTGTCACAGAAGCCATTCCTATTGCAGGTTCCCAAATCGAAGCTCTCCAAAATTGTCATCCAATGACTATAAGGGCTAAAGCTGGTGTGTTTAAACCTAAGACTTATGCAACTGCATCGACTATGATCACAAGGTTGAACCAACCACAATAAAAGAAGCTCTATCCAAGGAAGAATGGTGCCAAGCAATGCAAGACGAGTTCAATGCTCTAGTGCAAAATAATATGTGGTCTCTGACTGATCTTTCTAAAAGGCACAAAGCCATAGGCTGCAAGTGAATTTTTAAATTCAAGTTTAATGAAAATAGGAGATTCCAAAGACATAAAGCACGATTAGTTGCTAAGGGATATCATCAAAGAGCAAGTCTTGATTTTACTGAGACTTTTAGCCCTGTTATAAAGCCAACAATAGTCAGAATTGTATTCTCTCTAGCTCTTTCATCCAACTGGCCTATTCATCAAGTGGACATCAACAATGCATTTTTACGTGGTGACCTCTAAGAGAGTGTTTATATGAGCCAACCACCAAGCTTTACCAATGGTAACAAGATTAAGATTTGCAAGCTAAACAAGGCACTCTATGGCTTGAAACAAGCACCTAGATCCTGATTCTCTAAACTCAGCATATGCCTCAAACAGATGGAATTTCAATCAGCAAAGAGTAACACTTTTTTATTCATGAAGTTCACCCCCTACATCCATAATGCTAGATCTGGTTTATGTGGATGACATAATTGTCACTACAAGTTCAACATTAGAAGTTCAACAACTTATCAACATGCTAATTAAACAGTTCTCTCTCAAGGACTTGGGCCCTCTCCATTACTTCTTGGGAGTAGAAGTTCAACATACACCCTTAGGTGGTCTCTTGCTTACTCAAACAAAATACATTTGAGAACTCCTAGAGAGAGCAAACATGGGTGATTCTAAACCACAACCTACTCCAATGGTAGTTGGTCTTAAACTATCAACAGATGGTTTTACATCAGTCCCTAATTCATCATATTACCGATCCATAGTAAGAGCAATATAATATCTGACAATCACAAGGCCAGAACTCTCCTTCTCAATAAATAAAGTATGTCAATTTATGCATTGCCTTCAAGAACATCATTGGAAGGCAATAAAGAGAATCTTATGGTATTTACAAGGAATTGTATCTCATGGTTTACATCTAACCAAAAGTAGAGAAATGACAATTAAAGAGTTTTGTGACTCAAACTAGAGAATTGACCCTAATGAAAGAAAATTAACAACTGAATATGTGGTGTATCAAGGTCCTAATTCCATCTCATGGGCCTCCAAGAAGCAACAAGTTGTCTCTAGAAGTAGCACAAAAGCTAAATATCAAAGTATAGTAGCAATTACTATAGAGGTTTAGTGGATCAAGTCCTTACTATCAGAATTAAGGGTTCTTACTTCAACTCCTAGAGTCTATTGTGACAACCTTGGCACAGAGATGCTAGCGGCTAATCCAGTGATGCATTCGAGAACTAAACATTTTGAGTTAAATCTGTACTTTGTTCAAGACAAAGCAATGAAGAATGAGCTTCATGTGATACATCTACTGGTTGAATATCAAGGAGCAAACCTCCTCACTAAATCCATCTCTACACCTCAATTTTTACCATTTAAAAACAAACTTAAGATTACCAACATGAAAACCATAAGTTCGGGAAGGAATGTCAAGAGAAAAAAATAACTATCAGTTAATTTCATTATGTTATCTGTTTATATCAAGTTGTTATAAATGTATTCTCAAGATATAAAAAAAATCACAATATTTTCTCATCGTTTACATTCTGTTCTATCTCCATGAGCTCAAAATTCTTAACAAATAGGTTTTAAAGTAAAAGTAAATCAAAATTAAATCATATTAATTAATTATCATTGCAAAGTAAAAAAAATTATTAACAGTTTTTATGTGTGTCTAAAAACACGCAATAAAATATTATAAAATTTGATATATTAATAATATTAAGTACTATAACTTTTAATCAATTTACTATTTCTATATCTTTTAACATGTATTCTTGAATATGTTCAAAAAACCAAATTAACAATACCATTTACTGGACGTTAACTGTTAGACGACGCCCTTGGAAGGAGAGGCAACGAGTTTGATTTTGAGATTCTTTCGGTTATCGGAACTATGTTTGGGAGTAGAAATATTTTTTAAAAATATATTTTTTAATTAAAAATCATACTTTATTTGCAAACAAATAAATATTTACACATTGACATTAGTTTATCACTTTATTATAAAAATATAAAATAAAAAAGTATTTAATAAAGTCATAATCTTTTTGAAACTCAACTCTAATACATATCTTAAGCAAAGTTAAGGAGACCTAGCTACCAGATCATTCCAACGAAATTTGTGGGGTATTAGATAGTCATCAATTTTATGCTAAAGGAGGTTGGATCGTGGCTCGTGTGACCAGACTAAGCAGAGTAATACCACCACAAAAAAGGTCGCCCGATAACTTTAAAGATGTTAAATTAGGATCTCAAATCAAGCATTAGGCCGTAACCCAATACAAAGTATGGGTCAACCAACAGCAACTTAGAATGCATGCCTTTACGTAAGAGTATTCCAACATTTCAAGTACGAAAATAGAAACAAGTAAAGAGTTGTCGAGATGATACATAAAAGTAAAGAGGTACTCACAATAAATTCCAGGGAAAAAACATTATAACCTAGAATTAGCAAACATAACAAAAATTTAAGAGAGAAAAAAAGCCTTATTGAAGCTAAACCCTTTACAATCAGTTTTCCCTTTTCCACAAAATTGATATTCACCCAACATATTCAGTTTCTAGCCTGCCACTATGGACCAATAACTTGTGTTGGGGATCGCATAGGCCAACCTAGAAGAGGAGGCGATCCAGGAGGGGTTGCACTGCGGCTCGGAGAGAAAAGGCTTAGTTCTACAAATGTTCCAGTTGAAGTAACACCCTTTTCCAATGTCCGAAATGAAATTGATCCACGCTTTGTTGATGCATCAGAATACCTACCAGGACTAGACCGAGCATTTTCTTCAACATTATCTTCCAGATGACTCTGGTTAGCAATAAGAGACACAGTATCACTATGATCAACAGTAAACCTCCTATCTTCTAAGTCTTGTAGATTCCCCAGCGCTAAACAATCAGCAACTGGAAGGTAAACAAGCGTGCACATGCACAAGCCAACACAACATACTAGTGCAAGAAAAGCCAAGAAAACAAAGGCTTCAAACATAAAATGCTTGGGTTCAGATAAAACAGATAAACCAAGAAAAAGAACCCTTAATGGAAGGAAACATGAAACTGAGAATAGCAATGTGTAAACCCTCTTCTGCAAACCCTTATTAATAACTAATTTCAAAATCCGACTACCAAGCCAAAAAAGGTAGGAAGTCAGGATAATGGCAAAAAGGCCAAGGAGAATAGTGCTGAGTAAAGGGTAAGTGCAGAGGGAGGTTTCATTCTCCCCTGCCATTGAAGAGGCAACTGCTGCACTTGTAAAATAATGAGGCAACTTTTTTCCAGAACCCTTATTCTTGTCTAACTGAGGTCCAACCAAAATAACAAAAAGCTGAAGAACAAACATTGGAAGGCAGTAAAGAAGAATATATCCAGATGTTTTCACATTCCATTTTCTGCTCATAATTCCAGTCTCCAATTTCTGCAAGGGCGCACGAAGGAGAAACGCAAGTGTTAGAATGAGGCACGGTTCTGCAAACCCCATATTTGACACAATGTAACACTTGCAAACAGTTTCCTCCCATTTTAAGTGAAAGACACGCCTTAACAAAGTTAACCGAATAATCTCGCCAATACCCCACCAGATTGAAAATAGGATGAACGCAATTCTGATAATCCAAGGACCACTAAAATAATTGAGCTGACCAAAACCTGGACTACGAATATGAGCGCGGAAGTAAAATGTGTAGGCAATGCACATCAACCCAAGAAGAATCAAGATGGCTACTAAACAAATTGTCACCACACCGAATGCATCGGCAGCAAATCTCGACAGGGGCATTACCCGATGTGCAGATTCCACGCATGCTCTCTGACAGCATGGATACAAGAAATCCTCTGTGGTTGTGCCTTCTTCCCAGAATTAAAGTATAACTCACAGAGTTGACAATATTAAAAGAAGAGTATGATGATTGAACTCAATCCAGGTATGCATAATCACTCAGGGCAGCATCCCAGATCAATCAAGGAGCACCCTTCCGTGCACTCATAATAGCACCAAGAGTATGGATAAAGCACCAACCTCAGAACATATATGCTCAAAGATTGACTATCAAAATCAAGCACCTATAATCAACAAAAATTTAGTATAAGTAAAGGTGAAAGTTGAATGCTCAAACAGAAAACTGAAATAAAAATATGTTGGCGCCCCAGTCTTAGATTATCACAGTTAAGATATTCTAACCAAACTCAAGGAATGGTCTTAAGAATCATCAAAAAGCTTAACACATGTTAGTGATCATCTGCGTGCCAATACACAGACAGACCATGGAAAAACCAGTTTGAAAGGAAAAATAATTTATACAAGCTAAAAACGAAACAGGTATAAGACTAAGCACTGCATTATAGTGGATCACATGCAGAAAGGAGACACTAATTTGAAAATTACAAAAGAAACATTGATGCATTCAGTTATTTGAATTAATTCGTGTCATGTCAGACAGCTAGTCAAGTATATATGACGTCCACAACCAGTATCTGTTGTTCCATCACAGGCTTCAAATTAAAAACCTATGACTCATCTCCTCCTATAAAGAAAATACACAAAATAGAAGTTCCGAAAAAGGGAGGAGCAGTGGAGACTTCTGATCGGATTTGTCCGCTGCAACAGAAACATTTAAGTTTAAAACAGTAAATAGACTCCATTGCAATTATAAAGAGCTCCCTTTCCCTTCTTTTCTGATAACCATACAAAGCCAGACTGAAAGATATTCTACATATTTTAAGGGTCTTTTCTAACAACTAGTAACATCTTAACATGAATTCCACAACGATAGCAATAAATGAACACTATCTAGTAAACGAAATAAACAGACTTAGCCTGCAGAAGGCAGCTATCGATAACCCGCATTAACTAGTAAAACTAATCGTTCCCACTTTCTCTGGCATTCAAACAAGGAACAAAATCACAAGTTCAGTTTCTTTGATTCCTTCGCTATCTCAACAACCAAACATAGGGTAAACCTTAATCGATATTCAAATCTAAATATAAGCTATCGACAAGCAAATGCAACGAAATAAAAGAAAATAATATGCGACAAATAGATACATATATTCGAACATTGAACGTCATCAACACGGGGAAAACAAACATGACGCAGCAACAGAGGCTAAAAAAGGAAGGAGAAAACGGCAATAAGCATGAGAAAATGAGCGAAAAAGAGGTGAGGAGAAAGCTTACAGCGCAGAAAAGGATGATCGAGTGAAGAAGAAGGAAGGGAAGGAAGGGGATCAGATAACCCTAATTGGGGAGAGAGAGGGAGGGGGGAGGGACAGAGAGAATGAAGGAAGGAAGGAAGGAAGAGGAGAATGGAGAGAGGAAAGAGAAGAGAGGAGGAATTGGTGAGTGGGACTTTGTTGGTGACAGCCTGTCTCCAGCTGTGTCGTCCGAACCTTCCGCTTCGTGGATAAAGGACTTGCTTCGGCTTTGTCCCTACCTACGTGTCGTTACACTGCCGGGTCTTCTCTCTTCCGCTCTCTTTCTTCCCCATTACATGCGCCTCTATCAACTTTATATTTATACTAAATCCTTTCTTCCCCATTTATCTAACCTAATCTCTACATTAATTTCGTCATGCCAATGCCATACAATCTAAACAAACCTAATATTTCCTTTACCTTCCTCTGTTGGGTTTCATAATGCTTAATTACTCCAATAAATCATATTTGTTAATATTTTATAATTTTTGCATAATTATAACCCTATTTTGTATAAGTCTTTATTTTCATCTTTCAAATATTAAAGTGTCGTCACATTGTATAAATCATGTTAATTTTTTTATTAAAATAACTTTTAAATATGCAAATTTATTATTATGTGTTCAAAAATATTCATTTGGTAAAAACAAACATAAAAGGACAATGATACGTTTAATTTTTAGAAAATTAAATCACAGGTTTTTTTAATAAATAAATAAATTATAGAATCATGCAACGAGTAATGAGACATGCCTACCACCATTTATAATATGTATCAAAAAATTGTTTACATGTATTGTAATGAACTGATATTTAATGCGATTTCATGTGAATGAGTACATGCAAAATGTCCATTTTATTCATAATGCAAAAAATGTTTAAATGTCAAACAAATATATTTAGCAAACTATTCAATATGGTAGTGATTATGAGAAATATTTAAGTTCAAATATTAGAAATTTGACTTTTTGTTATTTTTCTTTGTCATAATTTTCGATATACTTTGACTTCAACCTTGAAATTTTTTCACATAGAAAAATTTTAATTTTTTTAAATAATTATATTTCTTTAAAATAGTGTTTAAAAAATAGGAAATTTGTGAACCTCTGAAATTAATCTTTCAAGCATCACATTTTAAAAATAATTAATACAAATTAGATTTTATTTAATTTTATTGACTAACACATCCTATTAAACAATTAATTATTATAATAAATTATATTTAATTAATTAAAATATTTAACAATTAATATTTAGATTATAAATAAAAATATCTTGTGTGAGAAGAAAATATTTAGTATAATTATTCTGTTTTAGAGTCAGTCACGTGTATATTTTCAAGGTTAAAATTAATCAAGAATAATATTATTTTTTTAGTTTAATTTGACTTACTTTATTTTTTTAATTTTATTATAATTATTAGAGATAAAATTTATTGCTTAAATTATATTTATTACTTTATATAAATTTTTATAATTTTTATAAATATTTATATTTGTAAATATTTTTTAGAAAAAAAATATTTTTACTTCTTTATATGTTTGATTCTATATAATATATTCTAAATTTTGAAAATATGAAACACAACATTCTATACTTTTAAAAGTATAAAAAAAAATTCTGTTATCATTCAATATACCTATTTTTTAAACAAAAAAATTCTAAAAATTATTTATAAAAAAATAAAAAATAAAAATTTAGAAATATTTTTATTTATGAAATAGAAAAATCAGATTAATGATTAATATAAGAATTTTTTGCACATTTCAAGAGTATAAAATGTCACACTAAATACTTTCAAGATGTAAATTGCACATAATCAAAGATAAAGTAATTTTTTTTATTATTTCATATTTCATAGTTATAAAATTAACTTAAAAAATAATTTTAAAATAAATTTATTGTTAAAAATAATTATATTATATATATAATTAGTTTAAATTTTAAAAAAATATATTTTTTTATTATTAAAAATATATATTTATTTTAAATTAGTGATCGATTAAAAAGCTCGTGACTTACCTAAACATGTTGAGTCAATCGCTGGACGAGTTATAGTTTTGTTCTAAACGACTACAAACATCCAGTTTTATAGGGAATATTTTACAAACCACTAATATTTGTTTTATCACATAATCTCCGAGTCCAAGATGAGTAAAAATTAACAATATATTATAAATTTAAATTTTTTGAGCTACATTAAATATTTATTTTACGAATATTACTCCTTAATTTTCTTTTTCATTTAAATTTAATATTTTGATAAATCATATTAAAATAAGAAAAATACGTGAATTAAATTTTAAAATTGTTGTAATCTTTATTAATATTAAATTTTATTTAATATTTTAAATCTTGATTTTGACGCTTCATATCAATAAATATAATGTATTTTGATTAAATAATTTAATTCTATACAACTTTATAAATTTTTTAAAATTATATATTTTAAGTTTAGTCCTATTTAATATAATAAAAAATACATCTGTAATGTTAAAAATTACACGTGTTGTATTACATATATTTTCAATTCACATATTATTATTTTTATTAAGGATGTTTATAATTAGATTAAAAAAAAAAAAGAGTTACTAAAGTGTACCGTGATGAAAAAGAATAAACCCAATTTACATCGTCGTGTAGACTAAACTGAAATTCAACTTCGACGGGCGGGCCTCCACTAATTTTCAAGCCCAAACACATTTTCTAGAAAAATTTTAAAGTTCAATAGAATTGTACATATCTTGACCAATAACGTGCAGATGTATATATTTGAAAAGAACGTGCAATGTTGAAAAAAAAAAAAAAAAGTAATATTCACTAATACTTTATAGATAACAATAAATATTGTATGCTTTTTCGGTGATAAAAAAATAACTGTTTAAAATAATAAATAAACTATAAATATACAACGTCAGTGACATTGTGCATAGCATAAGATAATTATGAATCTAGAACAATAGCTACAAGTTTCTTATACATTAAAAAAATAGATTTATCAGTCAATTAACTCAAATTTAAATGGTTAATTCACTTATTTACCATTCTTCAACAAAAAAAAAAAAACTTAACTATGGCCTGTATAATATTTATTACTGTTTACTAATAATAAAAATTTTGTTATTATATTTTTTTTTCTTTTATATACCTGTAAAATATATGAAAATTTTGCTAGTATGAAAAAATCTACAATTTATGGGAGCATTATATTATTAAAATAAATAAAAATAAAAAATATAAGTTTAAATGATAGATTATTTTAAGTTAATAATTGTAATTTTTTTAATATTTTTCAAATTAAATAATATATTTTTTAAAATAAATTATTAACTTTATTATCTATTAATATAAAAATAATGATAATTATTCATATAAAAAGACATAAAATATTTTTTTTAACTTACAAACCAGTAACATTTTTAAAGTTTTAAGATAGAATTAGATCAAACAAACAAAATATCTCTGTAATTAATACTTTATTTGAGAGTTTAAAATAAAAAAAATATTTAAAAGGTAAATAAAGAAAAAAATAAAAAAAAAGTTAATAAAAGCTTTGCCGATCAATAAAAATATAGAATTATAAATAATTTTAAAAATTTATAAACTATCTTCTTCTCATTTTAAATTTTCCAATTTCTCTCAAGAGTAGGTAGGTTGATTTTTAGGAACCAAACAACTTTCATTCACACTAAGCTTAACAAATATTTTGGCTGATTGAGGGAAACGGGGTATTTTAGAAAAATACTTTTAAAACAGGCAGTTAAGGAAACTAAATACCCACGAGTTAAATGGCGCCAACGGAGGAGATGCCACGTGTCAGTCTGCACAGTGGGAGAAACACCTCGAAAATGTGCCAGGGAGGGAGTTGACACGTGGCGTGCATGCAAAGGGAGCGACCTTCCAACTGGTGTGTCGACACGTGGCGGACATGCAGTGTGGCGCCCTTCCACGCTGAGCAACACAGGGGGCCTTCCACCACCTGCTTCTTCACGTTCTGATTAGAAGCCAACACTGGTTCAACGCAGAGAGGTCGCAACCCAACACTCTCTTATAACAAAGCTGGGAACTTTTGCACCATAACCTTCCTCTCCTCACCATATTAGAAAGGGGAAGACTGTGATAGTCGAAGTAATCCCTCCATCCATAGGTTTTTTATATTACAAATATTTTGTTTTGTTCTGCTGATAATCGACTCTAAAGTGTTCGACCAAGTGTCAAACTGAATTTGCATAAAAAAGGGGTTGTTGACCCTAACGAGTACCCACATTGTGACCAAACTCGACCACCCACATTGTGTTTCCAGGTGTGTTCGATAAAAAATAACGTCTTAGTTGCAGTACGTGGCTTGGAAAATATGCCCACAGTTTATACACATTGTAATTCTTGCTTTAATTAAATCAAGTGATGAAATTGACTCCAGCAACAAGAAGTTGTAAAAGCTGCCTCTCGAGAAGCATCGTGTGACAACTATTTGCATTGTCCTTCAGCAAGTGATGTTATTTGCATTATCTGTCAACAAGTTTTGTTTATTATGAAAAAAGTTTATAAAAAGTAATTGATGAACCTGTTAATTAGTAGCAAAGTAAATATCAAAGTATTTTAAAATAATTAATGCAAACATTAATTACTAACTATCAACTCTATGTGCATATAATTAAGAAGACAATGAAAATTTTGTTAAAATGAATTAATATCGTGTTAGCTAGAAAACTATCAATTAAATATAGAAATATAACAAAAATAAAGAAATACGAGTTTTTATTTAGCATTAGCATTATGTGTTGTTTATGTAATTAATATAATTATTAATTAATATTATGCTTTGTTTTATCAATAAAATAAAATGAAATATAATTATACGGTCAAGTAGGGCAAAGAAGCAGGCAATGTAGTGGCAGTGCACCTGGTTTCATTTCGTTTGGTACATGAGATCTTTTGCGTTGTATTTCATGGAAGTTTTCATTTGTAATCACATCATATCATAATTATGGTCAATTTTCTCTCTCTTTCTTTTGCGAAGCCTAACAAACAAAACAACTCTGCATCTACAAGTCGTTGGTGCTTAAGGTTGACGCCAATGCATACTCTATTTCTCCTCTCTCTGTCATTCTGTTTCTTCGTGCTAGCTGTCTTATTGTAATATAAATTACATTTTCATTGGTTCCTCGCTATTTTAGATCCCAATTTTTTCTCTTTCCAGAACATTTTCTCTCGATTACACCTCATTTTTCCTCAACACAATTCTCATTTCATTCGATGATCTGGGTGAGTCCTCTCTCACCCCCCAATTACGCACACTTGTTTGCCAACACCCTTTGTTATCTTTAATTTAATAGAACTACGCGTTTAAGGGAAAAGGAATAGGAACAGGAACAAGAGACATAGTGATTGCATTGGATTGCATTTGCATGCTTAGGATAGGAGTAGGATATAAATAAATCATTAAATTGATTCCTATAATTGTTATGGGTTGTATATGCTCCAAAGGAAAATGTGCAAACGAATACGTTGCTAAAAAGCATGCGAAAGAACTGAAGGAAAATAAAACCTCCAAACATTTATGCACGTCCCTAAGGGGAGACAAAGTTGTAACAGAGAAAGATGCTACTACACGCCTCATATCTAATGGAATTGAAGGTTCCTCCACCCTTCTTTCCTCATGTGAAGATAAGAAAGACACGACACAACTATTGCTCCAGATGGGATCAACTGTGTCTGGGGGTTTTGGAAGTGGAGAAGGAGGACAACAACCTAGGATATCTAGGATATTTAGTGTAACGAGAGGGGAAAGAGGAGCACAGGTTCTTGCTGGATGGCCTTCTTGGCTTACTGCAGTTGCTGGGGAAGCCATTAGTGGTTGGATACCTCGTAGAGCTGACTCATTTGAAAAGATGGATAAGGCAAGTTCAATTGTTTCAAACATCTTTTCTCTAATGCATGCTTATAATTCAATGACCCATGCTTTCTCATATTATTTCAAATCAAACGTCCAGACATCTGTTAATTATATATTTTTCAAAGCCATAGTTCTACATTTTCTTTTTTGTTATATACGTCACCAGAATGACGCGAATATTTTAGGTAAAAAAAAGCTTTAGCTATGCATGTTCTAAGAGTGTAGTAAAATACAAGATTCATAAGGTGATGAGTGTTAACTGCCAAACCATTTTACACTGAATTCTTTATGTTTATTGTCTTTCTGAATTTTTTTTGCATTTTCAGCCTTCTTGTGCTTTATTCCCATTTACAGAGATACTTTATTCAAATACGACTTAATACTCTTTTTGAAGATGCTTTAAGTTCCCCATTTATAAGATTAACTGCAATAGTGCAATTTAATTTCTTTTCATACGTTTAGTGTTTAGAAAACTTTACAAGGATTATATGACCTTTCGTTTGTATGCTTTGATTTTTAGAATGCAACATGTCTTCTTTCAGCCCAGAAGCATCGAAGTGTCTATTTCTGTTCAATGGATACCTATACTTGTTAGAGATCTCTTCATAACAAGAATTTCAATAGTTCAAATTTGAGACATTTTTTTTTTTTTTTTATCTTCAATAATTCTTTTTGGGGGCATCCCATCATTCTTTCCCTTTTATTATTTTTTTCTTAAGATATAAGCAAACAAAGTTTCCTACCATACTACAGATCGGGCAAGGAACTTACAGCAGTGTTTATAGAGCTCGTGATCTTGAAACAAATAAAATTGTTGCATTGAAGAAGGTTCGATTTGCTAATATGGATCCAGAAAGTGTTCGTTTTATGTCAAGAGAAATTATTGTCTTGCGAAGGCTTGATCATCCAAATGTCATGAAGCTCGAAGGCATGATTACTTCAAGGGTTTCTGGTAGCTTGTACCTTATTTTTGAATATATGGAGCATGATCTTGCAGGGCTTGCTACACTAGCTGGCATGAAGTTTACTGAAGCACAGGTACCTGACTAACCATTTGATTATGTGTCTAGAGTGTAGACGAGAACCTTTCTATCATTTACAAATGTAAAATTTGTCTTGAAATTAAGTATTCAGAATTCACTCTATGCATACAAACTTGCATCTTACCAAATTATTTTCATGACAGATCGTATGAGACCTAAAAGTGTATAGTATCTTGTATAATTAATACAAGCATGCGATAAATTCTCAGGCTAAATTAATATGGAATGTATTGCTAAATTTATCTTTATAACAAAGGAATAACTTTTTGTTCGATTGAATTTGATGAGTCAAAGCATTGTATCTGCTGAAGGCTTAGTGGAAATTTTTGAGCATTTTTGAAATGAAGGGTTTTCTTTGGAACAATATTCTAGTTTTGACAAAGGCCACTTTTGCATCCTGCTGTATTTATTACTCTAAAGTTTCATTTGATGTTTTGTCTAATTTTCTTTTCTCATCAATTGGCCTCTAGCTCTTTGGTTTTCACAATGGCCTGTCATTTTGTTGTCATGTTATAGATCAAGTGTTACATGCAACAGCTTCTTCGTGGTCTTGAGCATTGTCATAATCGTGGCGTTATGCATCGTGACATAAAGGGCTCAAATCTTTTGGTTGACAACAATGGCAATCTAAAGATTGGTGATTTTGGGCTTGCAAATTTATTTCAACCATCTCAAGGGCAACCTTTAACTAGTCGTGTAGTAACCTTGTGGTATCGACCACCTGAACTTTTACTTGGAGCTACAGATTATGGAGTTGCTGTGGATTTGTGGAGTGTTGGTTGTATTCTTGCAGAGTTGTGTGCTGGGAAGCCTATAATGCCTGGACGCACTGAGGTAGTATTTATCTTTTGTACTGGATACATATATTCTACATTTTATTGGACATACTAAATCTTTTACATTTTCTATCTTGAGCATCCTAGATTGATGAAATAAGTCTTAAAATGATAAGCCTCTTCTTTCCTAATCAATAACATGATTGCAAATAGCTCAAGTGGTTTTAAAACTAACATTTTAGAAATTGGGTTAGAAATGTGATGATTATTTTCGTTTCTCCTTCTAGTTTTACATTGAAGTTAATCTATAAATCTCTCACTTCCAATATAAATAATCACAAATGAAAGAAGAGAAAAAATAGTCATATTTCTAATTACCCAATTTCCAACATCTTAGTTTTAAAACCACTTAGAGCTATTTGCAATCATGTTATTGATGAAAAAGGGAGTTTACAACTTGAGATAGAAGTTTACAAATTGTGAATGAAGGAAGGATGTTAATATAATGGTCTAGTACTTTTGATGGTCTCTCGAAGTACTTCGCTGTAGCATGTTTTAAATTTGTCTTGATTTTCTATACTTTAAATGGCCATTAAGATTTGGTATCTATCATTCTAGGTAGAGCAACTTCATAAAATCTTTAAACTTTGCGGATCTCCTTCTGAAGAATACTGGAAGAAGTCAAAGCTACCACATGCAACAATTTTTAAACCTCAACAACCTTACAGACGTGTTGTTTCTCAGACATTTAAGGATTTTCCTATATCTGCACTAAGCCTCTTAGATGTCCTTCTTGCTATAGAACCAAATGATCGCGGAACTGCATCTTTAGCACTTCAGCATGAGGTAGTTATAAGTTCGAATAAAGTTCACACTACAATTTTTCTCTAAATGGAGTGCATATGATCTTATAAGTTTTTTACTCTGAATTTATTTTTCTTAGTCCCTAAATTTTTTTGTGTTTAGTTCTTCACAACAAAGCCACTTCCTTGTCATCCATCAACTTTGCCAAAGCACCCGCCTAGTAAGGAGTTTGATGCCAGACTTCGAGAAGACGAAGCTAGAAGGTATTCCTTCTTTGATTTTTTATTATCATAGGAAATTTTCATGCAATTTTGTCACAAACAATATTTGTATCATCTACAACAATAGTTCAATTTTTTTAACACCCTTACTTCTAGTGTAAGCTTTAACGAAGATTTGTTTTCTCTATTGATATGGTACAATAAGATCTCAATGAGTCAAGGGGAATGACATCATTTTTAAAATCTAATGTGCAATGACAAGAATGATAGAAAGGCTCTCCATTTCTTGGTTTTTTTTCTTTGGCATTCTTTTAGAGATATTCATTTTCATAATCTTTAATGTAATATGTATTTGAGTGTTTTTTTTTATTATTCTTCTTCTTCCTGAGGCTCGATTAATTTATTTATATTGTGATCCTTCTTATTTGGCTGTGCTTGTTCCTATTGTTACCCATTTGCTTATTTTAAAACAGGCGAAAAGCAACAAATAAAGGACATGAAAATGATGAATCAGTTAAGAGAAATTTTAAAGATTCTAAAGTTGTGGCAACACTTGTTACCAATGTTGAAATTCAGACATCAATGGAGGTACTTTAAATCATAAACTTAGTGTTATTGGACCTTGTTTTCACTTGAGTTATTTAGTTTTACCTGATATATCTTTTTTCATGTGATTTTTTCCTACAAAGAGACAAGGGCAATGTAATTCTAAGTGTATTAGTGAGAAGTATAATCCTGAAGAGGAAGGTGGTTATGGCTTCCCTCTTGAACCTGCAAAGTCAAGAGCACTCAAAGTTTTCTCTTATTTTGGCCATTCAATGCATCCGAGTAAATATGGATCTTCATGCAATATGAACTTGAAAGAGGAAGATGTTCTTACTTGTCCAGATCATGCCTTTAGAACAAGAAACTCTAAGTTGAGAAAACAAAAATCCTATTGGCATGGTGGAATTGCAAAATTGTCAAGATTTTCTAATTCAGTTGCAGTTCGAGGTGGTTCAGTGCTTGATATGAGAGGAAACTTAAGTGTAAATTTGCATTGGCCAGAGGATCATTTTGGTATGAGATATAGCCAGCTAGCTGACGGTGAGTCCAACCAATTGTTGGATGGAGTCAAGTCTTCACACAATAAGAACTTTCTTCTATTGGAAAGGATCGTGTCGTGGTAAATGAATTATTGATAATTTGTGCAATTATTTTGCAGTCAACATTGTATGTACCTCTCACAGAATGTTGAGAGATATCTTCTTCATTAGACCTTGCATGAAACTTTCTTAATAATGTTGCTTTTGGTAAATAGTGTTTTATGCTCAATATGACCTTAGAACTATCAAGTAATTATTGCTTTTATTTGTGATTGCAGTGTTATGCTCCCAAAAATAGTCTCATCCACCATTCTGGACCATTGCTGGCTCCAGAGAATAATCTTGAAGAAATGCTTAAGGAACATGAAAGGCAAATCCAACAAGCTGTTCGCAAAGCTCATTTGGGTAAAGAGAATATGATAAAGTGAATCACTATTTCACCATGAGAAATTAGTGATGACTATCAAGATAGTTTTGATACATTTAATCTGGGATGAGAAAACTTGAACACAAGATTTATTTGGAAAAATTTCAACTTTTGTCGCCGAGAGATGACTAATACTATTTGGGCTTCAACAAACTTCTTCACATCAGGTATTTTTACAACTATCTTAGATGGTATTGTGTAGAGCAAACAAAACCCATAGCAATTCATTGTATAATATATAGTTTATGGTTTATTAAATTAACACACTAGCAAGTTGTTTCAATTCCGCATGGCAAAGCCAAATCCATGGCATTACTCTGAGCATTTGAAATTGATTTTGCCAAATTAAATTTTATTCATTTAATTAATGCAAAGACTATTTGGTTATTCAAGTTTGATATGTATCTACGCATGTTCAAAGATAAAGGAAACCATTAGCATAAGAAATTCACAATGCTGAAGAAACGCCTTCTTTTCTAAACGTAGTATTCCCATCAGCATTCAAACATGAAGTGAAATAATACTAAAGCTCATTAAATATCTATAATTATAATTAAATTTATTTCGCTATAATCTCACATGATACTATTTTAAAAAATTTTAACTATAATTTCATTTGTATATTATTTTATCTTTTGTATTCTATCGTTTTAATTTTTATAATTTCATAATTCTTTTTTAATATCTTTCAGAAAAAATTATAAAAAAATACAATAACCTTTAATGAAGTATAAACTTCTTATTGCGTGTATTAAATAAAGTAAAAAAATATACATTAACATAATAATAAAATTATTTTAAATAAAAGAGAATAAAATAAAATTATTTGCCTTCAAATTCTTTTAATTTTTTACATATAAGACTGAAGTTATAAAAAAATTATTAGATTTTATGTTTTTTATTGGACAAGAATTTGAAGCACATATAATAAATAAGTATCATTTGACATTTGAGGGACTTGTTTGATACTTAGTTGACATCAAATATAATTATTTTAAATACTAAATTATTATAATTTTATTTTTTAAGCAATTTATAATAATTTATTTATTAAAATAAAGTTTGAGAAAAATACAAACATTTATTATTAAAATTTAATTATAATGTAATCATAGTATAAATGGTTTTTTTTAATTATCATCTCTAATCATGCTTCCTTAATGAGAATTTTTTACTTTTGTATACAGAGTATTTTAATTAATTAATAAAAAAAAATATTGGTACACAATACATTAAAATTTAATTATTATTATTATTATTATATTTAAAATTATTAATTATAAAAAAATTACTTTATAAATCCTATCTTTGAAAAAATTTAATTTAAGTTACTTCGAGTAAATTTTAAAAGTTCTTATAAAATAAAAACTTAATATAAAAATAATTTATATCTTCAAATCTCATAAAAAGTTAAATAAAAATAATTTTAAAAGAATATAAAAACATAATTTATTTAAAAAAAGAGTTTTATTTTTTTTCTCACAATAATTTCTCTGTAAATTTACCCAAATTATGCCTTATTATTAAATTACATGCGGTGCCTAAATTTCTTTTTCTCTTTGGAATTATTTGCTGGGACGGCTAACCTTTCTCCGCGCGTGCTACAAAATTGAAAAAAAGCAAAGATAAGAAATGTGTTCTTTAGTCGTTCACAAATTTCATAAAAAAGGTTAAGAATTAAAATATTTTGATATATATATATATATATATATATATATATATATATATATATATATATATATATATATATATATTGGGGTATCAATGCAATGCGGAAGACTGGATCGAATTTAATTGAAAATAAAGAGAAGGAAAAGAATAATGGAGACAAGATTTTAACGTAGAAAAAACTCTAAATTGGAAAAAAAAACCCACAGACGACGACAAGCAAAGTTATTCCACTATGTAAAAAGAAGAGTACAATAAGTCTTCTAAAATTATGAGGACAAAGAGTAATAAATCTCTCTATTTTTCTCTCAATAAATACTCTCTCAAAATGGAATAAGAGTTACAAAATAACACTCACAATTTTCTCCCAGTAATTTTTATCACTGATCCGTGAACGATGTGCACCTAAACCTCTATTGCTTCATTGCCTTTTATAGGCAAAATTTGCTACAATGATTTGTTAATTTTTCAATGTTGCTACAGTAACTTACTATAACAAATTTTGACAATTCGATGCAATTTTGGACGGTGCCTACATGAATTAAATGCCTGTCAGTGCCAATTGAAAAACTGAGCCACAAATTAGCGGTGTCTACAATTTTGACTAACACAATCCAATTTTGACTAACAATCTCCACCTTGGATCAGTTTTGATAAATTGCTCGACGCCGCTTAAACCCTGAAGGGCGTTCAAGTGCTGGAGAGACCAACCAAGTCCAAGCAATGTTGGAACTTGGCTTTTGGTAGAGGCTTAGTAAGCATATCAACTGGATTCTCAGATGTATGAATCTTCTGAACCACGACTTCACCCTTAACAACAATTTCTCGGATAAAATGATGTCTCACATCAATATGTTTTGTCCTGTCATGGTAGCGGTTATTCTTGGTCAAGTAAATAGCACTCTGACTATCACAAAACACAGTAAGAACATCCTGTGTAAGACCAAGTTCATTAATCAAACCTTTAAGCCAAAGAGCCTCTTTCACACCCTATGTTGCTGCAACATATTCAGCTTCAGTCGTAGATAATAATGGAAGAGACTGAAGTTGAGCTTTCCAACTAATAGTATAGTTACAGAGAGTAAATATGTAACTAGAAAGAGATCTTCTTTTGTCAAGATCGCCACCATTATCCAAATCAACAAAACCTGTAACTTCAGTTGTTGCATGATTTCTATCAAATACCAAGCCAATATCAGAAGTACCTTTGAGATACCGAAAAATCCATTTTACAGCACTCCAATGATCCTTTCCAGGATTATGCATATACCGACTCACCATGCTAACGGCATATGCTAAATCAGGTCTAGTGCATACCATAGCATACATAAGACTGCCAACAGCACTAGCATAAGGAATGCATGACATACGCTCCATGTCTTCCTTTGTCTCAGGGCAAAGGTCAGATGATAACTTGAAATGTGCAGCAAGTGGAGTAGAAACAGATTTGCAATTAGACATATTAAACCTGTCAAGCACTTTCTCAACGGATTTTTGTTGAGATAGAAATCCCTGCAAATCTCCATACCAAGAATCTTCTTAGCTGCACCCAATTCTTTCATTTCAAACTCATTATTGAGTTGAGTTTTCAATTTCCTGATCAGATGTTTGTCACGTGATGCAATCAACATATCATCAACATATAGTAACAAGTATATGTAAGATTCATCAGGAAGTTTTTGAAAATAAATACAGTCGTCATGTTGACTTCTGCAATAACCTTGCCCAATCATAAAGGAATCAAACCTTTTGTACCATTGTCTTGGAGCTTGTTTGAGTCCATATAAAGATTTCTTCAATCGGCAGACAAGATGCTCCTTACCAGGAACAATAAATCCCTCAGGTTACTCCATATAAATTTCCTCTTCCAGCTCTCCATGCAGAAAAGTTGTCTTAACATCCAGTTGCTCCAATTCCAAGTCAAATAAAGCAACAAAAGCAAGCAAAACGCGTATGGAGGTATGACGAACAACAGGTGAGAAAATCTCATTAAAGTCAATACCTTCCTTTTGGCTGAAGCCTTTAACAACCAATCGTGCCTTGCATTTAGGATCTTCAACCCTAGGAATGTCGTTTTTCTTCTTATAGACCCATTTGCATTTCAAAGTTCGTTTGCCTTTAGGAAGCTCTGTTAAACTCCAAGTATCATTCTTATGAAGACTTTCAATTTCTTCATTCATAGCCACTAGCCATTTTGAAGAATCAGCACAAGAAATAGCCTTAATATAACTGATTGATTCAATGTCATCATTTATTTCTTGTGCAACAGATAATGCATATGCAATTAAATTATCATCACAAGCATAATTTGCATATCTAGCTTAGTAATCGTCCTTCTTGGTCTGTTTTTGGCAATGAAATACTCCTCTTCCTACAGCTAAATTGGAGAAGTGGTAATCTCATCAACATCATCATCATCACAAATATCAGTACTAGACTCATTGATAGAAGAAGATGGAACATCAACATTAGGAGTTGTAGATTTCAAGTCCAACTCCACCTTCTCGCTAGTACCCTACAGATTATTAGTACTAGTAGAAGAAATCACAGAAGATTGTTTTCCAGAAGATAATAAAGCATCCTCGTTAAAAGTTACATCTCTACTAAGAATTAATTTTTGTGACTTAGGATTCCATAAACGATATTCTTTAGATTCAGATGCATAACCAAGAAATATGCACGTAATAGCTCTTAGAGCTAATTTACCATCATTGACATGTGCATAAGCAGGACATCCAAAGATTCTCAAATTGGAATAATCAACAGATGACCAAATTTCTTCTGGAATTTTGAAATTAAGTGACGAGTGTGGAGAACGATTAACCAAGTAACAAGCAGTTGATACTACTTCGGCCCAAAATTCACGTCAATGCCATAACCCAGCATTTGAGAGCATACAACGAGCTCTCTTAAGTAGAGTCCTGTTCATTCGTTCTGCAACACCATTTTGCTGAAGTGTTCTTGGAATGATTTTATGTCTAGCAATTCCATAATTTGCGTAGAACTCGATAAATTCACCGTCACAGAACTCCAATCCATTATCCGTTCTGAGCTTCTTGACTTTTCTCCCTATCTGGGTTTCAACAAGAGTTTTCCACTTTTTAAAAGTGGGGAAGGTCTCATTTTTATACTTGAGAAAATAAACCCAAATTTTGCAAGAAAAATCATCAATAATAGTCATCATAAAACGGCGTCCTCCATAAGAGGGAACTTTAGAAAGCCCCCAAAGGTCAGAATGAATATAATCAAGAATACCCTTTGTACGGTGAGTTGCATTAAAGAAACTTACTTTTTTCTGTTTCCCAAAGACACAATGTTCACAAAACTCCAACTTACCGATACCTTGATTACCAATAAGACCTTGCTTGCTCAAAAGATGCATGCCTTTTTCACTCATATGGCTCAGGCGCATGTGCCATAATTTGGTGACATCATTATCAAGCATAGAAGAAGATACAGCTGCTGAACCTATCACAACATAACCTTGCAAGAAATATAAAGTACCAACTCGGTTACCTTTCAACAAAACAAGGGCACCTTTTGATACCTTTAGGACTCCACCTTCAGATGAATACTTGCACTCAAGAGATTCAAGGGTGCCAAGAGAGATGAGATTCCGCTTTAATTCAGGAATAAAGCGAACATTAGTCAGAGTCCTGACAACACCATCATGAGTCTTGATCTGAATAGTACCTATTCATTCAACTTTGCATTGGGTATCATTAGCCATCAAGACAATACCACCATTAACTGGTTCAAAAGTGGTAAATAGATCCCTATAAGCACACATGTGGTATGTGCATGCAGAGTCAAGAAGCCACTTATTTTTGCTTCTCTTGTCAGAAGAGACAACAGATGTCATAACATCTCCATCAGAATTAGTCTCAATATTAGCAGCTTCAACAGGTTGTTTACCTTTTTCTTTCTTTTGTTTATTTTCTTCTTTTTTCTTTAAGATAAAACAATCAGAAATGTCATGCCCATATTTTTTGCAATAACGACAGATAGTGTTGGATTTTCGTCCCCTAGATTTGGATCTACTCTTTTTGTGACTAGTACTCCCTTTTACTTGAGTTCTACCTCTAACACTTAGACCCTCACCCTTGTCCTCAGAATGGATTTCAAGATCAAATTTTTCTTTGGACAATAAATTAGATTTAACATCTTCAAAGGATAAGGTGTCATTATTACCATACAACATAATTTCTTTGAAGTGTTTGTAGGTAGAAGGTAAAGAGACAACCAACAAAACAACTTTATCTTCATCATCGATTTTAATATCGATATTTTGCAGATCCATAATAATAGAATTAAACTCATCAAGATGAGATTGAATGGGAGTACCTTCTATCATACAGAACGTATATAATCGCTCCTTAAGACGAAGCTTGTTGGCGAGGCTTTTAGTCATATACAAAGTTTCCAACCTTAACCACAATTCCGCAGCGGTGGTTACGTCTGTCACTTCACGTAGAACCTCCTTGGACAAGCAAAGTTGGATTGCTGAAAGCGTCTTTTCATCCAACTCATCCCATTGCTCATCAGTCATGGAAGCTGATTTTTTTAACTTTTCATCTAAAGCTTTCTTTAATCCGTTCTGAGTGAGAACGGCTCTCATTTGGACTTTCCAAATAGAAAAGCTAATCTTGCCATCAAACTTCTCAATGTCAAATTTTGTAACGGTAGACATTTCCAATTAAATAATTGCTTTGATACCACTTGTTGGGGTATCAATGCAATGCGGAAGACTCGATCGAATTTAATTAGAAATAAAGAGAAGGAAGAGAATAATGGAGACAAGATTTTAACGTGAGAAAAACTCCAAATCAGAGAAAAAATCCACGGACGACGACGAGCAAAGTTATTCCACTATATAAAAGGGAGAGTACAAGAAGTCTTCTAAAATTATGAGAACAAAGAGTAATAAATCTCTCTATTTTTCTCTCAATAAATACTCTCTCAAAATAAAATAAGAGTTACAAAATAACACTCACAATTTTCTCCCAGTAATTTTTATCACTGATCTGTGAACGATGTGCACCTAAACCTCCATTGCTTCATTGCCTTTTATAGGTAAAATTTGCTATAGTGATTTGTTAATTTTTCAATGTTACTACAGTAACTTACTATAACAAATTTTGACAATTCGATGCAATTTTTGACGGCGCCTACATGAATTAAATGTTTGTCAGTGCCAATTGAAAAACTGAGCCACAAATTAGCGGTAGCTACAAATTGTGCCTACAAATTTTGACTAACACCATCTAATTTTGACTAACAATATATACATATATATATATATATATATATATATATATATATATATATATATATGCTACTATATATTAACATTACTTGCAATCAAAATTTAAACTTAGAACGTATATACATGAAAAAGGAGCAAATTATGTAACCTTTTTTTTATAGACCGGGAGCATGCCTGTTTGCACTCTACACTTTGACAAACGGGACATGCCGTTTTCATTCATGTTCCATGCAGGTTGAACGGCTGAGATCACTGGAACACGATTTCCAAATCCATTGAAAGAAAGAGATTCATCCTTGGGAGTATTAAACGAACATACAAAAATTACATGATAGTTAAATAAGAATAAATGCCTAATAAGTATGTAAAAATTTTATTTTATTTTTCCTCCCACGTACCCTCTCAGTTTTTCTCTCTTTATTTTCGGTCCAAAGCTTTTCGTGAAAGTAAGCTTTAATGCAGCTTTAAAAGGTAAAAATAATCGTAATTCATTATTGTAGTTTTTACGCTTCCTTAGTCGTGTTCTAAAGTTGTGGTCGTCAAACAAAAACTTAAAAATTAAAATAAGTTTATATGAGTTATCCTCCCATATTTTGGGCTTTCATAATAAGATTGCACCAAATTTGCAGATGCAACAACCTCTATACCTTTTGCTTGATTCACAATTCTGGCAGCTCTTTTGTCTTCATCAAATATGGATCCATTGCATGCCTCTTCTTCCCTTCGCGTCCAAGCATCAAACGTCAATTATTGTACCCTAAAACTTGTGATCTTCCCTAACTCCAAACCAAATATAACCTATCCCATCCGTCATCCCTGAAATTGCATATCATAGCATACTACACCAACCATTTTGTCACACTCTGTTGTAGCCTCAAAGAAAAAGGCAAAAACATACTTCCCTTTCTCATATTTTCTCTAAGCCTACACAAACACAAGTATGAGGCCTAAAGCCCATCAAACCCTCAACTTGAAGCTCCTCGTTGTAGCAGTGTTGGTTGCCTTTTTTCTCCTCTTCGTGCTAAGATCAAACTTCTCTACCTCCATTTCCAACCAAGACCCATCCCCAGCAACGCAAGCATCTTCTCTGCTACCAAAACCTTCAAGCGATTGTTCCCTAACTTGCAACAAGATCCCACCTTCCCTCTCCCAAGCTCTCATCCACTACTCAACCTCAACCATAACCCCACAACAAACACTGAAAGAGATATCCGTGTCAGCAAGAGTTCTGGAGAAGAAATCACCCTGCAACTTCCTAGTCTTTGGGCTGGGGCATGACAGCCTCATGTGGAGTGCACTTAACCACGGTGGGCGAACAGTATTCCTGGAAGAAGATGAAGCGTGGATCGAGCAAATCAGGCGTCGATTTCCCATGCTGGAGTCATACCACGTGACCTATGACAGCAAGGTGAATGAGGCTGAGAATCTAATGGAGGTTGGGAGAGGACCTGAGTGTACTGCAGTAGGAGACCCTAGATTCTCCATGTGCCAACTTGCTTTGAAAGGTTTACCTACCCTTGTCTATGAAACCAAATGGGACTTGATCATGGTGGATGCACCAACTGGGTACTATGAGGAAGCCCCCGGGAGAATGACCGCTATCTATACTGCTGCCATGATGGCCAGGAACAGAGACGGTGGAGAGACGCATGTGTTCGTTCATGATGTCAACAGAGTCGTCGAAGATAAATTCTCAATGGCTTTTCTCTGTGAGAAGTACATGAAGAAACAGGAAGGCAGACTGAGACACTTCACCATTCCAAGTCACAGGGATCACTTGGACACGCCTTTTTGCCCTCAGTAGATCCTCTACATACCTTCAATCTTATTGCATTCATCCACTCTACTCTACTCAAAAGTTTTTTGTGGCCCAATGTTGTGTATTCATGAAGCATGGCAGATCTAGATTTTATCATACACGCATTTGTTTACTAGAGAAATTTTTCATCCACATATTACGTGGAACTTGGATCCGCAATAAATTCATATTAGATTAATTTGTATCATATGGATGAAAGCTCTAGCTACTGAGCAGGCGTTGGCGCCTTCGCTTTATGTTCGAATCCATTCTCTTTCTTTCGCTTTTCTTTAATTAATGCGCTCTGCTACGTAGTCCATTCTTTTATATGTTGATGAGAAGAAGAAAGAAAAGATGGCAAGATGCCAACCAGCGAGCATAAGGAATAAATGTGATGATTGATGAATAAGATCGAAGAAAAATCATAATGGTACAATACCCTGGCTAGGAAAATGATAATTTTTTTTATATAAATTAGAGAGATAAAAAGAAATCTGTTTTAAAAATTTATTGTAAAATTGTTATATCTCATAGGAGAATATATTTCTCCCACAAAAAAAAAAAAAAAAACATTTGGGAGATATTAACTGAGGAAGGAAGGGGGAGTTTAGAGAAGATGATAGTATTCATTTCCATCCAACCAGGTGAATATACTGTGTTGACTTAACTGCAATGCAGTTGGTGGAGGGTAAGAGTCAAATTATAAAAACCTCAAAACTTGGTAGTTTGTCAGTATCAGGCTGCATGACGTGGCGACGAAGCAAGACAAAGCAAGACGGAGGAGCAGTGTAAATGTCGCTCATTCCATGCTAGGGGCACAACCGTCATTGCGACACGGAATTTTTTCTTATCCGGAATGAAAAGTAAAAATAAATCTTGAGGGAGTTATCACAACAATAATAATTATTTTATCATGCAAAAATCCTTTTTTATAAAATTATTATACATTCAATTTTAACTGAAGACATTGGTGATTAAAAGATTTATCATCGAATTTATTTGTTTATCATAAGAACGGGAATATTAATTTGATAATAAAAGCCTTTTTTTGTTTCTTTATTAATAAAACGATAAATAAATTGTGCAATGTAAAACACCGTGTTGTTTTTGGCAGTAACTTGAACCCCTTTTTGTGTTTAAAAAGAAAGAGGGGAAATCAATCATTAAATTGAGCGGCGAGGGGAAGAGTGGTGTTTGAAAGAGGAAAAGTTGTCGTCCAAGTGCAGTTCGATTTCCACTTCCACAATGAGTAACGAATAGTAAGTGGAAATTTGTTTTGTTTGTTTCAGAATTCAGAGTGATAGAAATTGTTGTTGATTTGTGTTGCGTTTGATTCGATTTCAGCGATTACCTGTTCAAGCTTCTCCTAATCGGCGACTCTTCCGTTGGAAAATCTTGCTTGCTTCTCAGATTCGCTGTGAGTTCCTCAGTTGACTCTCGTTGACCGTCATCTCTTTACTTTCTCTCCCACTCACACACATGGCTTCTCTTTGTCGTTTCAGGATGACTCCTATGTGGACAGCTATATAAGCACCATTGGAGTTGATTTCGTAACTATTCTTTTCTTTTCCTTTTTCTTTTGCCTCGGTATTCATGGACCAACGTTGATGTTTTATTTTTCTGGATTTTCTTTTTCAGAAAATTAGAACCGTGGAGCTGGAAGGGAAAACCGTCAAGCTCCAGATTGTGAGTTATATCAACTTTAATTAATTCTAAGGAATAACTTTAACTGGCTTCATTTATCAACTACACTATTGGATCCATTCTTGTGCTTTATTGTGTTTTAAAGAGAACTATTCAACTTTTCTGGGTTCTATTTTGTGCCTAGTTTTGATAAACGCCATAACTGTTTTAAATTTGTTCGGTGTAATATATCACAGCTGTTGCGTGTTATGATTGTGATTTGCCACATCCAATGTTACAACTTTCCCTAGCTTGTACCTTTGTCTCTGTTATCTAAGGGTAGATTCACAGTATGTGTGCAAAGTGAAAATTATTATTTATCTCTCGTGTTTCCTTTCTCTTTATCAAAGGGTATTTTGCATTGGCATCATTACTTCCTTATTCTGTTTTGATATATGCTCTAGATCGCTGGCTGTCATTGTAATTAGAACTCAACTGTGTATCTCATTATCTCTCGTTATGAGTCATCAGAAAATGGACTGCCGAAGCCACTTAAGGCAGCGTTTTCTTTCTTTCTGACAATCTATGCTTGTTTACGATGTTTAGTGGGATACAGCTGGACAGGAGCGATTCAGGACTATAACAAGCAGTTATTATAGAGGAGCCCATGGGATAATTGTAAGTCAACTTTATCTTATCTTCTTCTACAATAAGAAACATATACCTTCGCTGGCACTAATAAATTTTGAGCGAACTTCTGTAATTCTTATGAATTTGGGGATTGCAACAGATTGTCTATGATGTTACTGAGATGGAAAGCTTCAACAATGTGAAACAGTGGTTAAATGAGATTGATAGATATGCAAATGACAGTGTATGCAAGCTTCTTGTGGGGAATAAATGTGATTTAGTTGATAACAAGGTTGTAGACACGCAAACTGCCAAGGTAAATTACTAAATATCTCAACTTTCTTTAGGGAATCATCCTGTAGTTCTGTTGTTTCTTCTCAAGAATTTCAGTGTTAGCTTGGCAATTAATTAGTAGACATCAGGTGTCTGGATATCAACCTTTTCATATATGCTTTCTTTTACATGTTTTTGTTTTACCTATGAATTTTTTCTGTATGCATGTATAAGTAACCATCCACGTGTATTTTCTTGTAATGTTTTCATATTTACTTTAGGGATACTGTGTTTATCTTGTTTTGGTAGTTATTACTGATTAATGCATTTTGCTCCCAGTCCTAAAAAAGGACAAGTAGTGCACACAGTTTCAGTGCTTAAGGAGGTCATGAAACCAACAAAATCATCAATTCCATTCTGGATGCTGGTCTTTGGCTGCTGGAAGACCAAAGCAATATAAACAAATTCTAAACGTAATATCTTTTAATATATTTATCTGAAGAGTAGGAGGGGATTTAAACTTGAATTCTTTTCACTTTCATTCTATGACCCTATAAAAGAGGCATTAAAAGCTGAATAACTGGGAGGAAGTGTACTATCTTGATAGAATTTCCTATAACTTGGAATTCCATTTCTTTTAAATAAATTAAATTCAGTAAAAATCTTTTGAACATGCTTATTGTTAAATTTAATATTGGCTGAATATGTCATGTACAATAATATTTTGGATTGGTCAGATCTGCATTTTAATGTTGGTTGGTTTAATGTTTGTGATGCTATTTAATATATAATTGTTTAGGTAAAGAAGCATATGCCTGAAGGGTAAATGAAATATCAGCTACCCTGCATGTTAAAAGGGGAAAGGAAAGAGTGAGAGAATCATGCTTTGTTTGTCCAACATATATTGTACAATTTTGATCCACAGGCATTTGCAGACGAACTTGGTATCCCGTTCCTTGAGACAAGTGCTAAAGATTCAATCAATGTGGAACAGGCTTTCTTAACTATGGCAGCGGAGATTAAGAAGAAGTATACATTTCTAGCTTCCCCTTTTTTCATTTTGGATCAGTATCATCAAATGACAATATTAATCAATGTTATGCATTTGCTGTTTCCATATGGGATTTTCAGCATGTTTAAAATTGAAGTACTAACAGTAGGTCATGACAATTTTTTGGCATTTTCTTTTATTTTTATATGAAAGTTTTATGGTCTGCATTCCCAGATTGCATTCAACAAGATATTGATCATTATTTTATTTATACAAGACTGATGAATTGTCTTTTAAAATAATAATATAACTGTCTAAGAAATGCTGGCTTTTGATAAAATAAAAATGAAGTCGAAATGGAATGTACCCCTCGATCTAAATCTTCATACTCAAGATTCTGGTTATTTAAAGTTAATGTGTGCCAACTTTTATTCTTTAACAAATTTTAGATTATGATCTCATAATTCCATTACTTTATTCATGTGATAGCTAGAGTTTCATTGTTAGGCATGTCTTGACTTTGATATGCTTTGGACTTTGATTTGAACTTACCTGTAGGATGGGAAGCCAACCAACTGTTGGTAAGTCAGCAGAAACTGTTCAAATGAAGGGGCAGCCGATCCCACAGAAGAGCAACTGCTGTGGTTAGGTAGAAATTGTAATTTTCTACTTTCTGTTAACTATGTCAGAATAGGGAGACTGTGTTTCTTGACACCATTATGATATTTATGTTTCAGTAACTGTTAAAAAATATCATCTATCACCTATTTAGGTATTTGTATAATATTGTTCTGAATCTCCTGATGACTTCTGGTATTTAGAATGAAAGGGAGGCAATTTCTCATAGCATGAGGCTTTGACCACTATTTTGCTGACATATTCCATAAAGCGCAGACAATGGACGGTTCTCTAAGTAATGCTATGCATAAGATAAACACGATATGTGAATGCAGGTAACATTAGAAACCTGCGCGCCTTAGCCTTTTTGATGTTATGGTAAGGCATATTCAGATCATTTTGCACTGGACCGAAAAGGATTAGAGGTGGAAAAGATATCATTATGTCCAACAACTGTCGACTCTAAATCGCAGAAGGGTTTGTAGGGACAAGACCCCGTTGGCCACATTACCAACACCTTAGCGGCCTTGATAACTTTCTGCCCACTTTTGCATTTGCGGTAAATTGCATTTCTGAAAGATATATGGGATTTGAATTCTGGAAATCCCACAGCCAATCACCATTAAGAGTAAACTTGGAGTCAGACTACTGGAAATGAACCTTTCCATAAACATAGTGGAGTAATTTTATCAGTAGACGTAATGTCTAAAAGTATAATGAATTTAAAGAGTTAAGGTAATGTTAGAATTAATTTGCCATGGATTTTAGCACAAAGGCCGCATTCTTTTACGTTAAATAACTACATATATAAATTTCAGCACCAAGCAACCGATATTTTACTTTTCAAAAGATGACGTGTCAGTTTATAATGACTAGGCCTACGTAAGAACTTCTCCCACGAGCGAGTCTATTTCCCCGTGATGTGAGATTTTTCTGCCGAATCTAATCACAACGAAGCCTTAGTCCATCAATTTTGTTATCACCGAATGGAGGAATTTAAATACAGATCCGGAAGTATGAATATGATAGATTTGCTGGCCAAGCCATTGCTTAAAAAAATCTAGCAATTGAAAACGGGGATAATACTCATTAATCACCACGCACAACCATAAGAAATCATTATAAATATTCTGATAACATACAAAATAAAGTTAAAAAGAGAATGATAAAGAAAACAAGCAAAACAATGACCCACAGGGCGATCCTGAAACTGAGGGAGTAAGAGAATGAAAACAAACTACGACTATTATTAACCCGTTTCAAGATGTACAGCAAGGCTTCTTTGTATTTGGTTCGGGTCCCCCAACTGTGATAGTCTTTCCTTCTTTAATATTGGCAGATGAAGGTTCATTGGAAGAGAGTGATTTCTTACTGATTATGCGGTATATCTCTGCAAGAATTGTCTGGAAGGCCTTCTCAACATTTGTTGCTTCAAGAGCAGATGTCTCAATGAAAGAAAGGCCTTCTTTCTCAGCATAACTCTGGGCATCCTCGGTGGCAACAGCTCGGAGATGCTTCAGATCAGTTTTGTTCCCAATCAACATGATCACAATGTTAGCATCTGCATGATCCCTTAGCTCCTTTAGCCATCGGCTAACATTTTCAAATGTAGTTGGTTTTGTGACATCATAAACTAGAAGAGCTCCAAGGGCACCCCTGTAGTAGGCACTGGTAATTGCTCTATATCGTTCCTGTCCAGCCGTATCCCATATTTGAGCTTTCACGGTTCTTCCCTCAACCTGCCAAGGCAACATATGATCATTAGAAAGCATAGCATATTATATCAACATGATGTGGACTAGCATTCAGGCAAGGTGTTAAGAGTTATTTCAAATGTTGCCACATTATAGACTATATCTGATCCTGCCACATTGTCATCTAATCTGTGTAGAGGGTTCAATTCAAATGTTGGACTAACATTGAAATTCAACAAACAGGTAACACGAAGACATGGCACGGACCAAATCCAATAAGACAGGCCGTTGATTTAAGAGTTAAAAAAATTAACAAATATTTTGTTATTTGATTGAAAATTACAATATAAATCAAATCACAGTGAGTTGCCGATCATTGGTAAAATTGGATGAAAACATTTTCACATTGAATTCATTAGGGAATTTGGTGGCATTCTCTTTAAACAAGCAGAATCATACGAGTTTGGAACAACTAAATTAAAAAATGAATAAATAGAAAGGTGTGGATCAAATCAAGAATAATATCTCATCAGGAAATAACAAGGAAGAACAAAAAGTGAAAGCAGCATTGCGTTGTAGTGAAATTGAGAGATCTGGAAGAGATCGATCGAATATAAGGAAGTAGAAATGAAGAGAAAGAATGAGACCTGAAGGGTACGGGTGGCGAATTCGACGCCAATGGTGGACTTGGACTCTAGGCAAAACTCGTTGCGAGTGAATCGGGACAGAAGATTCGATTTTCCAACGCCCGAATCCCCGATCAGTACCACCTTGAACAGGTAATCGTACTCTTCCTCCGCTCTCCGAGCCATCCTTTCTTTTTCAATTCAAAAACTTTCTTTCTTTTAATAAAAACACAAAAACTGTTTCTAACGGGATTCTGCTTGTGCTTGTGGATGTGATACTGAAGGTGTAGCACACAACGCAACAGAATCACAGAAGAAAAAGAAAAGAAAAGAACCCTTCTGAATCGGATTGCCCTTGTTTTCACCAAATTGCCCCTTCCCACTCACTTCTCTTTCATTTCTTTCCTTTCAGCATCCCTATTTTCATTTTATTTATCTCCTCAAAATTTCGGATTCTAATTTATGCACACAAATATGGAATGAACCAATCAATAATCACAATCAAACCTTTTCAACTAAATCTCTCGAATTAAAAATACTCTTAAAATTATATTATATATTATATTAATTACTACCAATTGAATATTTTATTTTTATTAAAACAAACATACACAAAATAATAAGTATTTCTAAACTTTTATAAAACTCTTATAACAAAAATTGGAGAAGTCAAATTTTCAATCATTTTCTTTATTTAGATGTTAAATAAATAAATCCGCATTAAAATTTAAAATATTTATAAGATGAAATTTTGACATAATAAAATCACATGAAAATTTAATTCCTTTATTTAGTCATTTGAACATGTTCTTATACTATGATAGTTTTGCCATAAACAAACAAAATCATGTCCAACGTCTCATACAAATAATAAAAGAAAAAGGACTACAATTTCCTTTTATTCCCAAGAGTTTCGCTAAAAATTATGAACAACTGTATTATAATTTTTGCTATTTAAAAATAATAATAATGAAAAGAAAGGGCAAGAGGTAGCTGGCAAACAATAACGTTGGTGTGCCTGTCGTTTGACAAAGTATATGCCCATAGTCTTTTTTGTTTTTGGTCAATTCCCAAGTATATGCCGAAGTCAAATGCTAGAGTTCGAAGGGTAGTGTTTGGGCTTTTGGGTCCGGCCCGTTTAGGGCTCTTGATTGATTGTAGAAAACCTAATTGCTGCTTCATTTTGGCATCTTCCTCTCCTCCTTGATATAGTGGCATCGCAGACAACGCAAAGCGACCACTTACTTCATCGGATTCTGCTCTTCTTTTTCTTGAAGACATGGCTCTGGTGAGTGCTCACTTCTTCAGATAACTATTTCTGCACTTTACTTTCACAATCTGAATCCGATTTTGCGTTGCTTCTTTTGTAGATCCTGCATGCAACCAAAACTAACAAAAATGCTTACAAGACTCTGATCGCGGCAGAATATAGTGGAGTTCAAGTGGAATTGGCCCTAAATTTCGAGATGGGTGTCTCTAACAAAACTCCTCAATTTCTGAAAATGAATCCTCTCGGAAAGGTATCATCCTCTTTTCTCCCTTAATTGAAACTTGTTTTTCACTGATCACTGCCCTTTCAGGTTCCCGTGTTGGAAACGCCCGATGGTCCCGTCTTTGAGAGCAATGCCATTGCTCGTTACGGTATGTTCATGCACTGCATGATTAACACTTTATGTCCACTGTTGTAGTGTTTCGTCGTGTTTATTTTTGGGGTCTTTGCTTGCAGTTACCAGTTTGAAGGGTGACAACATTTTATACGGATCTTCTCCCATTGACCGTGTAAGTTTTTCTTGGTGACCCTTCCATTTTCATCTGCTTCTCTTACTTTTCATGTTTGTGATGTGATGTCTTGAAAGTGGCCGTTTCTATTTTCTACTTAATTCATGTTTTTGATTTGATTCTTCAGGCCCGCATTGACCAGTGGATTGATTTTTCTTCCACGGAGATTGATGGTCATGTTTTTTCTTTGTACCTACCAAGGCTTGGATTTGCCCCATACCTTCCTCCAGTAAGTCGTTTGCAGATATCTTCTGCAATATTAATTTGCATATTATATTGATCTCTACTTTCTACTCTGAGGTTAGGGTATTTATTGATATCAATCATATAATATTTGTGACTTGGTGCCAACTATTCTCGAGTAACGTGAGGTTCTTCTGAAATCAACTGGTTTGGTAAATATTGTTGGATCTATATCTTTATCAAGTTGCTGAATTTCCTCTCAATTTTCCATTTTCCATTTTCCGGAATATTTAGCTCCGCATCTGAATATTGTGTGTGTGAAGGTTGAGGAGGCTGCAAATTCTGCGTTGAAGAGATCATTTGGGGCTTTGAACACTCATCTTGCTTCCAATACTTACCTGGTTGGCCATTCCGTAACCCTTGCTGACATCATAATGACGTGCAATTTGCATTTAGGTTTCACTAAGCTCTTAGTGAAGAGCTTCACCTCGGAGTTCCCTCATGTCGAGAGGTACTTTTGGACTTTGGTCAACCAGCCTAACTTCCGAAAGATATTAGGTCAGGTTAAGCAGACTGATGCTCTTCCTCCTATTCAATCCGCAAAGAAGCCTTCCCAGCCTAAGGAAACTAAGCCCAAGGCTAAGGATGAACCAAAGAAGGTGGCTAAAAAAGAGCCAGAAAAGCCCAAAGAAGAAGCAGCAGAAGAGGAGGCACCCAAGCCCAAGCCCAAGAATCCTCTTGATCTTCTTCCTCCAAGTAAGATGATCTTGGATGATTGGAAAAGGCTCTACTCAAACACTAAGACCAACTTCCGGGAGGTCGCAATCAAAGGTATGGTTTTTATATTTGAAGTTTTTATATTCATTTTTTTTTTATCATGAGTATTTTTTATTTAAGAAGGGATGTCAAAATTTGTTCATATGGGTTGCAGAGATCTTTTCATTTTAATTTCTCCTTTTAACTTGCAGGATTTTGGGACATGTATGATTCGGAGGGATATTCACTCTGGTTCTGTGATTACAAATACAATGACGAGAACACCGTTTCCTTTGTGACATTGAACAAGGTTAGTGGATTTCTTCAGCGGATGGATCTGGCTCGCAAGTATGCATTTGGAAAGATGCTTGTTATTGGATCACAGCCGCCATTTAAGGTGAAGGGATTGTGGCTTTTCCGTGGGCAAGATATTCCGCAATTTGTGATTGATGAATGCTATGACATGGAGCTCTACGAATGGACAAAGGTTGACATCTCTGATGAAACTCAGAAAGAGCGTGTCAATCAGATGATTGAGGATTACGAACCATTTGAGGGAGAGCCTCTTTTGGATGCCAAGTGCTTTAAGTGAAAAATAGTCCCTTGTTAAAAAAAGGGGGTATGGTTTTGTCCTATGTCTTTTTGGTGCGATTTGTTTTCTTTCTTATTTATGTTAGAGAAGTTTTAGCTGCTGCTTTGTGATTTTACCAACGCTGAAACATAAAATATTGATTTAAGTACCTTAATTTTTATCAAAACAGCATACAATTTCTGGATATCTCCGATGATATATGGGCATGCATGATCACAAAATGAGGTTTCCTAGAAAACTTTTTCAAGTTCACAAGACTTTGGTCAAATTGGTCTTTTTGGGTTTTGATGGATCCTGCTGTTCAGTTTTATTTTTGCAGATTCGCATAGGTTGAGAAAAACAGACAATCTAGCATAAGGGAATTTCAATTCTTAACTGAATTTAAACATGCCGAGGTTTGACCAACACCTGTTGCCTAACCAGGTTTTTCCAATCCACACATTATTATTGGGCAGGTGTGGTGTCTGAATCAAAGTTTGCTTATACCCGAACTAAGTTTTTTTTTTAATCTCATTCGGAGCACAGTAGTCAATAGTGGCTGCCATTGCAGAGGTGTGGAGAGCGGCACAATAGATCAAATTACGGCTCTATCAAGATTGTTTTTTCCTTTTTGAAAGTTTGAATGCTTTTTAAGGACAATATTGAAATTTTACATCCTTTGAAAGTTGAAACTCTACCTTCGTCTTGAACTTTACCTCTCTTTATTCTCTTGCTTCATCTTCCATTTTCGGCGTCATTTTCTGGTGTAACTTACTATTTTTGGTCAAGTTTTGGTCATCTTTATCTCTAACGAAATTAACTATTTTAACGAGTAAAGACATTTTTTTAATTATCTTTTTATTTGGTGTAACTCAAGCTATTTTTGACAATATATAAACTTTTTTTAATATTAGTGAGACATTTTTTGGTGAAATCATTTTTGTTAGAGCTTTTTTCAATGACTGAATAATTTTTTTTTATCGATTTTCTCTTTTTTTATTGTCTTTATAATAGCAGTCATTTTACTTTCTGTTATTCTATTATAACGTCTTTAAGAGTTGGCTGATCAGCATCTTTATCTAGAATTGAGTACTATAATTCAGAGTGAAGAACTAAATAGAAATTCAATATATAAAAATTCAATGTAGTAAAATATTAGGTTTACTTCTCTTGTAATAATCCTTCAATGGGAAAACATTTGATTCATGTGACCGTTGAATGCACTTAACTACTATCATTTATACGCATATAAACGACTAGTCATTTGGCACAAAGTTGAATACTCCCAAATGCTTGTTTGGTTTTGCCAGCCTTGGAGCAATTGCCATATTGATCCATGCGGCAATATCTTAAGTGTAGTTGAGCTTTGTAACACAGACACTGGAACATGGGAGAATCTTTCAAACATGAATAAAGCAAGAAAATGTGTTTTGGTGTATTTATGAATGACAAATTATATGTCTAGCAGAGTTGGAGAAGGCAACACAAAACAGCTAAAATATGGTGAGGAGTTTGATTTGAAGACAAAAAAAGGCATAAAATATCTTATGCATTCCCTCCACCAAGTGGAGAAGCAAGGGTGAATGAGATGCCACTTGTTGCTAACATGCCTTTGGTTTTAGTTGTAAATAACGTGTTATAGGTTGTATATTGTAGATTATGCACAACGAGGTAAGGAGATATGTCAAAGAGAGTAATGAGTCATCGTTGAAGGGTTTCCTAGGGGAGTATCCTTTATGAATGGTTGGAGATTAGCATTTTGCGTATGTAGAGATCTACTATTTTCAACTGCAGCACTCCATGCAAAGTTGTAATTTTAAGTGTTTTTTTGTTTCTCAAGCAAAATTAGATGGTCGCATAAACCATAAAATGTGGTAATTCAGTTGCTGTCGAACTTTAGAGGTTAGCAATTTATTACTTTTTTATAGAGAAATTTATACTCTACTAATAATAATAATTGAATTTTTTTTAAAATTAAATTCATTCTATTTTTTTGGCAATTAATTAGTAGTATGTGCAATGCAAGTATTTTATTTTAAAATAAATATTTTTAAGAATTATTCGCTATAAGCAACCTTATATAAGTTAAATGGGACGACAAAACTTTTTTTAAAATATTTAATAAAACTGTATTGTCTAGAATGCAAACTCAAGTTTAACAATAATATTTTTTTAAAATTATTTTAACTTAAATTTATAATTATGAAATATAAAGATGATAAAAATAATGTATAAATATAAGTATTTACAAAAAAAAAATTATATAAAGTAATAAGGAATAATTAAATAAAAAATTTATCTTTAAAATTTAAATAAAATTAATATAAGCAGCAAGAGAAGGTGTAGTTCATATATTGCTATTATGATATAGAGTAACTCTACTAAATGTCTTATTTCATGTATTTACTACTTTTTTCTCTTTTAATAAGATGCTTGGATAGAACTTTTCTATCTTCAAATCAAATTTATTATTTTCTTTGTATGGAGAAATATGAATTTCATATTCTTTTCGTTCTAAAAAATGTTTTTTACAGTAAAACGCATAACTTTGGTACTCTTCTATCCATATTATATTAATTATTTATGATTTGAAGTGTCTAATTTGTTTCCATCGATTTGTCTCTTAATTTAGTAAATTTTTATTGCTTTGATTGATCTATTTAAATATTTTTATAATAATAATATCACTAAACAAATATATAAAATAAAATATTTTTTCACATTTTCTATACTTTATTTTATTCATTACATCTTTAAAAAATAAATGTTAAGAAATTATCTAAGTGAGTTATTGGAATCTTATTATTATTCAATGGGATCGAACAATGGAAAATACACAATTAATCGATAAGGGAAAATATTAGCAATTTGAATAAATTTGTATTGAGCATCGGCAAGGAATAAGGATAGAGATAATTAACATAAATTAAGAAAGTCTAAAAAATAAAAAATAATTTATCGTTAGAATAAAAGACATAAAAGGAGAGGGAGAAGGGAGAGGGAGGGAAAGAGTTGATTCATTCTCCCGTAATCGTATCCATCATCGATCAATATCAATTCCAAGAAGACAATAAGAGAATTCAAAATCACATCACATCGCATAGACATGAATTCAATTTCAAGAACCCCATTGCTCGCTTTCCTCGTCGCTTTCTCTTTGCACTTTATTCTCGGTTCGTTCCTTCGTCATCGCTCTCAAATTCCCCAACCCTAATTTCATCTCCATTCCATTCCATTCCTACCTTACCTGTTGCTATTTGCTTTATTGTGTTACAATCTATGCCCTATGTTTCTCGCTCTATTCCATTTCTTTTCTGCATTTGCTCTATTTTTTGCCGATAATGTCTGGTTTTGTAATTCCACCAACTTTATTCTGAGACCCAGTTGTTCTTTGTTGTATAATCTTTAGTTGAAAAATTTGCACCCATCTCGATGATGTGCGTTCCTGTTTCTCATTCTGATCAATTTCTCTTTTTTGGGTGTTTTCTTTCTCAGGCTTTTCTGAAGACTCGCCTGCTTCTAAAGATGCACCTCGCAGCACTACTTCTATAATTATCATTGTAGTAATTGCGCTTGCGTTATTTTCTTTGCTCTCCTTTTTACTGTTTAAGTTGTGGCGGAAGAAGAAAAGGGAAGAGCAATATGCTCGTCTTTTGAAATTGTTTGAAGAGGATGATGAGTTAGAGCTTGAGCTTGGCCTAAGGGACTGATCTTTGCAATTCAACATCTTCAAGGTTCGTGTTCCATCATACCTTATCCTCTTCATGTTACTTCATTCTTTTAGTTTTCTCATTATCGTAAGAGAGAGCATTCTGAATTCAAACTTTATATCTGTTGGGGATCAGAATAAACCTGGAATTTCTCCTTAGTGCTGCTGGTATCCAAAATCCTTTCAATAATAAGTTTAAACTTAATTACAATACCTTAGATGCTTTTGATGCTGAATTCCAATTCCAATTAAAATTTTACCTTAAGAATCAGCCCCAATCCCCCAACCTTTATTTTACAAGTTATTGAACTGAAATTACAAGTTTGTTTAAAAACTAGCGTCAAAAGCACGTCAGGTACTGCTCCTGTGTTTTGTTCATTTATTATATGGTCTTGAAACATCTTTCTAATACTTAATAAAAAATATGAAGTAAAAAAAATAGATAAATTTAACATGTTGAAAATATATTAAAAAAATTTCAATGCTTTTTATTCTTAATAATTCAGAGGATTATTTGAAAAATGGTTTTGCTAATTATTGGTTGTCAAGATTTATAATTATTCTTGGATGAACTTTAGCCTCCTTTTTTAAATGTAAGGGTTGTAAATGAGTTATGTGATTCTTTGTTTACTTGTTTAGAAATAATCTTGTTATGATGTCTCTCCACTTTTATATATTTACTTATTCCTATCAGGGTTTTAGGGTGAGTCTTATCGCGGAGTAAGGTCACTTGTAAATAGCCTCTCCAGTTTTAGGGGTAATGGATAGCCTGAATTATTTTAGGGATTATTTTTTGAAGGGATTTCTTAAGCCCGCGTTTATGCTTATTATGTAATAACGCTGTTAAATGTTCTAATTGCAGGCTTATGTGAGTCTATTTATTTTGAAATGGGTTATGCTAACGAGTGCTAGGACCCTTGTTAAGAATAAAAATTAGCATATATATGATGATATGTTATTATGATTTCATTTTTAGATCCTTAACTAGTGTCCTAATAATACTCGTTAGCATTTGCCTTTCGAATCTTCTGCTTCTTCCATGGCCAAGATGGATATGATGTTGGATCTCCTGTGATGAAGTTAGGACTTTTTTTGGAGAAGAATCATAATTGATTGTTTGTAATGCTATTCGATTGTTTTCTTTTCATAGGTATTTATTTATCTACATAGTAGATGAAGAAAAGGGTAATTTTGCACAAAGTGATTAGACGGGTGTCTTCATGAGTATGATACACCTGAAATTTGTTGATATGTATGATATTTATTATAGTCTTGACATGTAGATAATATGTGTGTGGTGTTTATGAATGAGTGCCTTGTTATTTATATTTGAGGACATCTGCTTTTTAAAATAACATAGGCAAAACAGATGAAGAGGATCTGTATTAAATAACTTGTTTGGGTTTTGTTGTGGTTATGAGTTTTTCCCCTATTTGGTTGACATTTATTGTTTCTTGTGGAAGGATCTTTAATGCCTCCATAAGATGGGCAGTCCCTTTTACTTTTAATCTTTGAAAATGATGTAAAGCAAGGGACATTTGACTTTGTCTCATACTTAGTGACTTTGACACTTCTAAAGTGAGGATTTCAATCAGCTATTATAATTCTGTATTAATTCTTCTAAAATGCATCCGTCGCCCTAGAAAAGTTTGCATAGTGCTCAAAAGTACTTGTTAGTGTGCAGGACTTGGTGATAATGGTGATTATACAAAGTGCGTTTGGATAATAATTAACTTAATGCTTATTATATAAGAGCTTATTTAAATAAGTTTAAAAAGATTTATGAAAGTTATAAGCTATATTTACGAAGTTTTCATAAATTCTCCTAAATGCTCGCATATCCATTTTCACAACTTAGAAAAAATTATCTGTATTTAGGTGGCTTCCGCTGAACCGTTTTTTGTTTTGGTACATACGCATTTTTTGCATTAATATTTTCTTTATTTTTATAATACATTTTAAAATCGGAAGAGGATTCTTCGAAAAATCTATGGGAACATTTAGTGAAGTTATACAAAAGGCTCGGAGATCTTTGTATTCCAATAATTGAGATGAAATCCCTTGTATGTGGTTTGAAGATAAGACGTTGGACCAGTGCAACGACGTGCTTGGCCCTGTCGCTATATTTTATCTTATTTTCCAAGGATTAACATTTAACACAATTAGTAATAGTGAATACCAAGATGCTACCAATGGTTGTGCAACACTGCGATGAATAACAGCAATGACGAAGACCATACAATTTATGGTCAGCCAACTGCTATAGTTTTATTGCATATGTTAACAATGTCAAATTACATCATCCGTTGTCAAAGAAACTTAGAATGCAGCTTTTCCATCACATTTGTAACTCGCTTGAATTGTTGCTTTTTATTCGAGTTGTGAATAGTAAACTGCTCTCCTGCAAAATTGGTGAATAAAACATGATGATAGAATTCATATCCTCTAGAATCAAATGTGTTTTAGAGGATAGAATATAAAAATTACGATCGTTAATTGTAGATTATCAATCAACACTTCAGTAATAAATTCACATGTATAATAATTTGAAGTTATTAAATCCTAATCTTTTAATAAACAGGTGTAAGTTTACATTTTCCGCTTTAGAACATCACTTTAAAAGAGTAAAAAATCTAAACAATTCACCTTGTCAGCATCTTGATTTTGTATTAATAGAGAAAAATAATTGACGACCGAACCAGGTACCTTCCCTTTCATTTTTCACATTCAAATTCCAGTTCATAAAACTATACAAAAACCACTAACAGTCTCAAAATAATAAATGAATCGACAATCATTGAACAATGATGCCAAAAATGTTGGTCACAATATAATAAAAGACACTCCACTTGTTTATTTAGTTTGAGTCAATACCATGCATATATAGATGCATTTATAGATGCATGTATGTAATTTAATAATTTGACAAATGCAAAATAATAATAATAAAAAAATATATCTACTAGGAGTATGCTACTAAGTAGCGCCTGCAGATTAGTTAATACTATAACTAAGCAAAAAGACAGTCAAATGTTCTAGCGGTTAATACACCAAAGAATAGACGGCTATTAAATTAAGCGTAAACCATCCGTCGTTTTAGTCCCAGCAAGCTGCCTGAGGAGAGAGATTCAGCCGCAAAGGAGTTTCTGGTGAGTAATATCAGTGCAAAGACCATCACATATTCTAGGAGATCATATGCTAATAACTTAGCTTGGGCAAAATGTATGATCCACCGTTAACATAAGAGGTCATCTTCCTGTCTTGGCTCGTTTCATTCCAGTGCTGTTAAAAGGTGACATAATTGGACTCATACTTGGGCTCATGCTTGGACTTTCCTCTCTCAAAGTACCATTGAGCATAGCCAACTCCCTCAATTGCTGCTTCTTATAGTGATCAAGGGATTCATCCTGGCAGGTTAACAAAGATTAGCAGGATAGCCCAAAAAAGGGAAGAGGCACAATTGATGCAATTAACTATAATAATAATATATACCACAGGCTTCAAAAGATTTTCTAGTATTGCCACAGCATGATCCAAGCGAGAATTAATTATATCCTCTGGAAACTCTGCCTCCACCAATACATGCAATGGTTCTTTAAGGTGCTCATATCCGGGTTTATCTTTAAGCTTCTCTTCCTATAAAGAAAATATACAAAAATTGAAATACATCATAAAAAAATGACACGTATGAGCATCATACTGATTAATATGAGTATGAGAACTCCAAAAGACATTTACTAGTAATTCCATAAATTGGGGGGAAGAAGTCAAATACAAATGCAAAGGTTCACAAAAGCTAGCAACTAAGTTGGACAAGCACTAGTCAAATTTATTTAGGCATGTTAGGAAAAACTTTTGCTTCCACATCAGGTTGTGCATGTGTCAGCGGGGAAAATTCGTTTCCTACAAATATTAGAAATAATGATTTTAAAAAAAAGTATAGTTACATACCAACTTTACCTTAATAGAATCCTTCACAGAGCCACAGCCTCTGATGTATACCCTACATTCAGTCATTGCTTCCACTCTTTTCAAAGAGTTCCCGCGAGGTCCCAGAATTCGGCCAACAAAATTATACTGCTGAGATACGAGTCGAAAAATTATTACATTGAAAATAAAAACTGATACAAAATCAAGTGGAAGAACAAGATTTTGACTTACATTTGGATATTTATCTACAGGGACATCAAGCCGGATAACTCTCTTCACTACAGGAGTAGTTGGAACTCCTTGTGTCCCAGGCCAACCCATTGTTGGTGCTTGAAATGATGCCATTCTTTGGAGATTTCCATTTTCCTGCTTAAAGAAATTTGGTATTGTTTATTAAATTCCAGAGATTCAAGAACTTAGGATTAATTAGGTGAGGTTAAAAGGCAAAAACTAAGATTAAGGATTCCGAAGATGTCAACAGTGCTGAGTTGAACTCCTAGTTCTTCTACATGTTTGTACAAAACTGCCATTAAACTGGATATTTTCAGTGATGAAATATTTGAGAAAACAAGTGAGCCTTGGGCATTCCAATGCATAAAAGATGCTTCTCTTATAGAACCTTTTATGACCTGTATCAGATACACCGTGTAGTAACACACTCATTTAAAATCAGCAGCACAAATAAGAAATACAAAGTTCACTAGTGGATATGGTCTTCCATGAAATTCTTTTGAATCACTACTTTGCTCTTTGCCAAGTAATGAGTGATAATACTCATAAAAAGTCATAATAATGCAACTGTGAAGCAATATCTGATTGGCAAAATCAGAATAACCATTCTGGGTGCAAAATGCCACAGGACTTTCTGGCAGTTAAAGCCACGTTAGAGTCCACTGTACAGATATTATCTGCATTGCTGCTGATAGGATTGAAATCTGGAAATATTCTTTCTGCCATAGTGATATATCTTGTAAGTTGAAGGTGAGAAGCATTGCACATAAGTGTCTCAACTCCAGTTGTTTGCAATTTTTCAATTATGAATAAGCAAAGCAGAGCCTATAAACACTTTCGTCCAATTAATTGTTTTCACTGAATTTCTTTCCACATGATAGAAGGCTCTCAAGTTGAAACTGATAAAGATGTCATTTCTTATGTTCATATACTTTTATACATGAGAAATGGAAAACAAAAGGCACAAATTGTACAATGTGATTAATATATATATATATATATATATATATATATATATATATATATATATTTATGCAACTTTAAAATCAATAAGGCAATGGTCCAAGGAAACAGAAACTATCTCGGATAGATTTAGTCAATAAATTAAAAATACTATGAATTCATGCACACAGTTGAAATTGCTAGAATTCCATTTATCCAGTAAAAAAGTTTTAAATGATAAAAAAGGTCAAAAGACCCAGAAGTAGATACAAAAACGGTGTTCAATCAGTATGAAATAATTATAAATTTCAATTATCAAATGGGTATTACTGACAGGTTTGGAGTAGCGTTACCTCTATTGGTAAAGCAGGCCATCCTTCCAAATCCATTGGTCTACTATTTGGATGTTGACCTAAGGACCTATATGGACTGTCTGGCTCAAGTCTTTCATGTTCCATGAAACCTTGATTAAAGCCCGATATACGTCTGATTTCTGTAATAGCAAAGTAGAAAATGAGAGAAAGTGGGTAACTACAAAAACTCAAGAAATCAACAGCAAAAGTGGTGCAGGGGTTGATCTAAAGGTGCACATAATAAAAGGTAAATACCAAAAATGGCATTAAATAATAACTAATTACATTATCACTAGCACCAAAGAGACAGGGAGAACCGGGACTAACAAGCCTAGCAAACAAGCATCTAAATTGTTTCAACCATTCATGTCTGTTTACATTTTTCTTATAATTATTAAAACGCCATTGATATTGTCTGATTATATTATTATTATTTGGAATTAGTCGTGCGAGCATCTGCAATGAACATCAACAGGAAACAGTTGTCTCCCAAGTCCCAGCACTAATTGGTAACAATCTAACAACACAAGACTATAATTCAATCCAAAGTTACGTTTCTAAATATAAAAAAATATAAGGGAGGAGTAATATGCACAAATTATGAAGATATTTATAAATTATAAATAAAAGAAACCACTGCTATAAGAACAGATAAATGATTGAGAAACCTTGAGTTAAGAGCCTGGTACATTGCGGCAGAACTTGGACAAATGGTCCCAACTTCTGTCTCTCTGCAAGTAGTTCAGCCAAATATCTGCAAACGATTTGCAACTAGTCATGCATCCCATACTCCAGCAAACACAAAACTTAAATAGATGAAGTATAGCGCATAAAACTCGACGACAATACTGAAGAGAGATGAATAAATAAGCAATAACAGATACTAGATTTGGTTCAAACGGCAGAAGCAAGCATTGCGAGGCACACAGGAAGAGATCAGATGAACGAAAACAAACGAAATAGCATCGAACAAGATGTATCGTATGGTGTCATAAATCCACAAGCAGCAGATGGAAGTGAATGATAGAAAAAAGAGCGACGATGTGAAGAGGAGAGTGACCTTTCGCGATCTGAAGGAATAGAGGAAGACCTAATCGGAGATGGCGGAGGAGGGAACTGGAAATAGCTCCCAGTGGCAGTGGCAGTTCCAGATGGGATCCTCTCTCCCATCTCACTCTCTCTCTCTCTCTATTTTTCTCTTCAACCAAAACCAAAACCTAGTTAGAGTTATAGAGTCAGACTTAGAGAGTATCTATATATATTGAGATGAGAAAGATGGAGAGTGGAGGGTTACTGAATGAAAAGCGGAGACAGAGAAGAGAGAGTGGCAAAGCAAAGCCCTACCCACCCACCAAAAGGCGCTGCGCTGCTGTGTGAGGATTCCTCTCTCTCTCTCTCTCTCTCTCTCTATATTGACTGCGTCACTCACTCTCTCTTCGCACCAAAATCTATCTTTCACCGCACCGCAACCAATACAACAATTTGTGTCACGTGTCTCCCTTCCCCTCGCCTACTTATTTTCTCCCCTTAAAATATCCCTTTCCACCAATACTAACTCAATTAACTTCTCCCACCTATTCCTCACCCTATATGTATTTACTTACCATTGCTTCTGCTTCCTTTTCATTATATATATTTTCAAATTATATTTTTAAATCATCCTTTTTTAATAAATCAATTATTCATTACGTTAAAATATATTACTTTTAAAAGCAGCCTTGCACATTAATTCCTAAAAATTCTTTTTTTCTTGTTGATTAAATCTGAAGATAAATATTGCTCGATGGGAAGAATCTTAAAAAATCATATAAAAAGTTTAAATTTAACATATAAATTCACTAGTATATATTAATTCATATTTTTTATTCAAGTTAAATTAAAAAATATAATAAAATACTGACATTAAAAGAAAATACCCATCAATAATTAATTAAATAAATAAAAATATAAGCACCTTGGATCTATAAGATAAAGATCAAATTAAAAAAGTGATTAACTTAGGAACCTAAATATCTTAGATTTAAAAGAGGAATTTAATGTAGTGTTTTAAAATTAAAGGATTAAATAGAATATAATTTATTAGCAAAAAAAATAGAATATAATTTAAATTAAATGATAATATTTAATAGGAATAAAATAATTACAAATAATAATAAAGTTAGTTACTCAGTGTAAAAGAATTCCCATAAATTAATAAGAAAAATATATCCTAAATGATTTTATTTCAAGAGCTATGATTTAGACTTACGATATAAAGGTGATTTGTCTATACGTCTCAGGTAACAAACGCAAAATGTTATAAGACGTAAAAACAAAAATATATATATTAATTATGAAAAATAGATAAATTAAAAAATTATTATCATTATTCATATTGCTTTTGTGAAAATAAAAAACATATTTGATCATTTCAATACCTAGGTATGACATCTTAAAACCTGTTTAGTTCTAATTACAAGTCTTTAAAATTATAATTTCTCATAGAGATAGGTATTTATTATTCAAAAAGATACATTTTAAAAAATGTATTTATTTAAATTTATAATAATAAAGTATTAAATTACTTTAATTTATTTTTTAATACTTATTAATAAATTTTTAATTAACTTCTTTAAAATAATATTGCAAGAGAAGATGCATTGATAAGACAAGGAATGCTATTTAGGATTTATTCCGTCACGAGAGGGAGAGACCACCTCGTATTCGGATTCGTATACATAAGAAAAGTCAAAAGTACAAATACAAAGCGAAGGAGAGGAAGCACAAAACGCAACCGTATCCACTTTAATTTTACTCGCAACTCGCAAGTCGAAGCTTCCTTTGAAACACGCACAAACCCCTCTCTTTCTCTCTCTCTTTCTCGCTTCAAGTGCATGGCAATTCGGGGCTTTTGTTTGAAATTAGGGCACACACCTTTGGTTGATTGATCCTCACAAGCAGTGGAGAAGATGTAATCCCACCGAGACTGTGGCTCCTCCTTGGTATAACTATTAGATTGATTGATAAGTAGTAACTGTAACTGTCTAGGGTTTTTCGCATGAAGGGTACGTTGGATCGGACGAAGGTGGTGCTGCGGCACTTGCCCCCTTCAATTTCTGAGGCCGCACTTTTGGCCCAAATTGATGCCTCCTTCTCTGGTCGCTACAACTGGCTCTCTTTCCGCCCTGGCAAAATCAGGTGACATGCATTACTCCTCTTCAATCTTTCTTTTCTTGTTACCTTTTCACTCTTTCATTCATTGCCCGCAAAATTGATACGAACGACAATGGCCTCTGGAATTCATCTCTTGATTCCTTATGTTAATATCTTTAATCGCTTTTTTTAGAAAGAATAACTATAGCTCATTGCACGGTGTTTTTTCTGACACTAATCTAGTCACCGTGGGTGGGTGTTTCGTTGTGATTCCCTTACTTGGTAGAATCGTATTAATTATGTTTCCACTATACTTTTCTACTGGGAATGTTGTGACTTGTGAGCCTCTCGTCTTGTTCACCACTGATTGTCTGTAATGCGAATTATGATATAAATAGATTGATGTCTACAATTTACGTACCATATTTTTATTATATGTTAGGGACATTCTTTTTGACTTTATTTTTTATTTCTAAATGGATTTTTTCAGCCAGAAGCACATGTCTTATTCTAGAGCCTACGTTGACTTCAAGAGGCCAGAAGATGTTATAGACTTCGCCGAGTTCTTTAATGGACACGTCTTTGTAAATGAAAAGGGTAACTAATGAGATCGTTTGAAGTGGTTTGTTAGGCATGTTTAAGATCTTGCCAAAGCTGTTACCGTTGCTATTGTTGTCCTGATTATTATTGGAATTAGGCCAGTGCCACACGTTTCATTTGGTCAGAGTGGTTATTGTCATTGTCTAGCTCAATTTTTTAATATAGCAAGAAATACACTTGTTTCCGTGTGGCTTGTTCATGACAAGCAATCTATGCTTCTGCGTGGGTTGGATACTAAGTACTGAATCTGGTTCTCTATTGTTCCCACCAGGAACCCAGTTCAAAGTCATTGTTGAATATGCTCCTTCACAACGTGTTCCAAGGCAATGGTCTAAAAAGGATGGTCGTGATGGAACCATATATAAAGGTAACAGTTAGACAAAGGTTAAAGTAAATTACAGTGGATATATGGTTCTCTATAGGAATTATATGTACAGTCTTTTTGTTTTGACAAATATATAAGAATTTTCCTGGTGAACATCTAGATTCTGAGTATCTGGAGTTTCTTGAACTACTTGCCAAGCCTGTTGAGAATCTTCCCAGTGCTGAGATACAATTGGAGAAGAGGGAAGCTGATCGATCTGGTTAGTCCAATAAGGCAGAAAATATGCAGTAATTTTATTGTTTGCAAGTGTTGATTCTTAAAAACTCATGCATGCAGAATTGGCAGATTATTTTTTTCTAAAATTTTTTTTACTTATTGAGTTTACATTCTTTAGCAGTTGCTGCAAAAGATGTTCCTATAGTTACACCACTGATGGACTTTGTGCGCCAGAAAAGAGCTGCCAAGGGACCTCGGGTATTTTTGCATAGGATCAACTTTTGAAATTTCAAAGAAATTATTTGGTTGCCCTTTGTCATTATATAATGTTAGCACTTCTGAGCACACGTGTCTGTCTGTATGTGTATGGAGATGAGAGCTAGTGCAATTTGTTCTGAGAAAGAGTCTCATTTATATCCCTCTTTTCTGTTATATCTAAAAGCACCATTAGTATCTTGCTTACCTAAGGTAATGTCATACGTGTGCAGAGATCATTGTCTAATGGGAAAGTGAGTAGAAGAGCTGGCACATCATCAAATGGGAATCTTAGTTCTGCCACATCAAGGCGGGGTTCTGGAAAGAAAAGGGTTTCCACTACAATGGTATTATCCATTTATTGCAGGAGAGACTTAGATATGATTAATTATTAATACAATGATTTTTCTTCAATTTTTGGAATAACAGAAAGCTGCATAGTATTTGATACTTATCTAGATGAAATTGCTTGAACACACATATAATATTAACTGCTAGCACTTGGTTCTTACTCTTTTGTTTTAACATGACTGACCTTTGTTTTTATGACGGACAGTATGTTGCAAGGGACCCAGGTAAAAGTTCTACTCTGAAAGACAAATCAACTTACACTTTGGTTTCCAGGCAAAGTGATCAGCATCTTTCAAATAAAACTTCAAATCTGGCAGCTTCTGATGGAAATCAAAATTTTGATGAGAATGGTAAGGTTTACATTTTTATTCAAAATTTCATGCAATGAATTTTTTTAAAATCTTTGGGTTTCATTTTATGGTTTGGAGGCAACATTTACAAATAGTCTGTTGGTTTACGTTGATGAATTATAAGGCTTTTTCTTCAAAAATTATTATTTAATAGAATGTATGTTATAAATTTCTCTTAACTTTTTGGTTTCTTCTCCCTCTAATTCTGTATACTCTTATAACCCTGTTGTAAAAATTTTCTTTATTCTGTAATTACTATCACTTCAATGGGGACTATATTCACCACTTTGCCCATTTTTTCAGGTGTTGCTGGAAATAATGATGCTGGGAAGAAGAAAGTACTGCTTCTTAAAGGGAAAGAAAGAGAAATAATTACTGTGAGCTTCTTATTTATACCTTTGTAATTCAATTCTAACTTCTTGTTTTTGCAAAAAGATTGATATGGAATCTCTTAGCTTAGTGGATAAATAAATATTTGCACCATATGTTTCTGTATTTTTTTCACTTTCCTTTCAAGGGTTGGCATATATCAATGGACATAACTGACTTAACCTGAATGAAAATTTTTTAATTGTTCTTATTTTGATTAAAAGCAACTTGGATTTATCATTTATTACTTTCTTAGAGTCATTCCATCCCCTCATCTGTGGCTTCTTCTTGAATATCTTGTTTCTTTATATTGGTGTTTTTAACGTTGATGAGTTTTCATTGATCCCATCTAGTTTGCATCAGTTGATTGTGTAAAATGTTTGCTTAAATTACTTTGCATTTTGATTGATTAAATCTTCAATAAATATTAAATTTTTCTGGTGGATTATCCATAAGTTGTCCCATTAGTTAACAGAATTGCTGATAAAATATGGTTATAACCTAACCTTATTCCATTAAGAATGGCAAGCAGAGAGAACAAAGGTTAATATGATATTGGCTGGCAGTCTGACACTTCACATTTCTAAAAATAAATACTAAGGTCAATGCGCTTTAGGGAACCACTAGGAAGTGAAGGTATAAATTATAATGATGCAATTGATCTAATAGGTATAATGATCCTATTTGCTAAAATGTCTGCCAGGATTTGTTTCCTGTAATATACTGCCTTATCAGTTATCACTGCATGATGTATAGAATATGATGAATCAATAATTCAGTATCAATTCAGGTACGGGTTGCATTTTAGTTCATTGCCTGTATCATTGGTGGATTCATACATAGGATCCTGTTATGACTACTATTCTTCTTAAGAGTCTGTTTTGCTTTGTTTGTTTCTTATTGTGCAGGTATCTGATTTAGATAGCATGTCACAGCATCACAATGCAACATCTTCAGCTAAATTAGTTCCTGGTTCAACAGCTTTGAAGCAGAATCAGAGGCATGAAGGTAACAGGAGGATTATCAGAAGTATACTTTCACACAATGATTTGCATCAAAGCCAGTCTTCCAGGGCCCTCTCCGAGCAGCAAATCCAAACATCAAATCTAGAAAAAGAAAGGCGAGCCCCTCGCCCCGTGCATGTGCAACTGATTTTGAAGGGCACTAATGGGGCACCAGAGAATAAAATTGCTGTGCATGATTCACATATTTCTAGCGAGAGACAGGAGCGACGTGTTAGACATAAGGACAGACCTGATCGTGGTGTTTGGACAAGTCGTTCCAATGGAGGTGATGATTCTCTGTCATCCTCTACTTCCTCACAAGTAGATCCTTTGGAAGGTAACTTTTTTTAATCTTGTACCTATGATTTTGTTTTGGCAATTATGGATTAATCCTTTATGCTTTTGTAAAAAAGGGGGAAAATTGTAAAGCATCTCTGACTAACTATAGAGCTGACATTGATCCACAAACTATTACCATTGTCTGCCGAAAATTGCTTACAAGTCTTTTTCACAAGTTGAAATTTTCACATGTTTATGAAACAGGATTTCATGCAGATTTGAAACATGACATGCCAAATGCAAGAAGTGGGGAGGTGAAATCCCTTGGAAGTGTCCGTGCCAGTCATTCATCAGTAGAAAATGGTTTGTTTCTGGCTCTAGAAAGCAGAATCATAAACATTCTTATGGTTGGTTTCTGCTAAAATTTCTTTGGTTTGTATATCTTTAATTAGGTTTTAGTAAGCATTTTGGTCGCCGTGGACCAACACATGGGGTGAAAGATGTTGATGGCTATTCAATTTCAAGTGATGGGAAACATCCAAGAAGATCTAGTACCTCTGCTTATGGTTCCAGCGAGGTTCCCTAATTTGATTTCTGCTTGTCATGAACTTTGTATTCTTTTTTGGTTCAATTAATGATTAAGATCTCTTCTTTAAATTGCAGAAACAAGTTTGGGTTCAAAAAGCAAGTTCTGGGACCTAGAGTATTATTTAGATTGGTGAGATGCATTCCCTTTATCAGCCCTGTTGTCACATAGCTTAGAAAAATGCTTGTTGATTAGCCAGTCTCAAAGAGTTGCCTGATTGATTTATTTATGACATTTTAAAATCTTTCTTGGTATGTCATCAAAATGCTAGAATAATAGTTATTAGTTAATATTACTATAGATCAAGTCATCATTAATTTCCTGTGAATTTTACTTTCACAATCAATTTTCTGTATAATATTTAGTTATTTACATTAGCTGACCTCACCTAATAAGATAAGGCTTGGTTGTTGTTGTTGTTATTGTATTTAGTTATTTACATTAATGTTAGTTTTGTGAAATTTTGTTTCAATTGTAAATATTGATTGTGCATGCTTTTAATAGAAATGTAGGTGATATACTTCTGGTTTGACTATCTTTAATATGTGATGTTATGATGTAGCTTAATAAGCTGTGGTGTATTTTCTAAGGGCAATTTGCATTGATAACCTTCCCCTGAAAATTGTAATGATAATTAAATGATTGGAGTTACCAACCCAGAATGTAAAATATGTTTTGTTCAGTGCTGATGTAAGTTTAAGTCATTTTTCTTGTATCTACTTGTATCAAGGTTGATGATTTTCCCTTGCAGTGGTAAGCTTGCTGACTTACAGTTTTGGAGCATCCAATGCTAGCTGCCAGATTCTGTCTCTTTTTGGTGGACAGATTCTTATAAGAAAATGAGTTTGTGTGGTTAAAAAAATTCTTTTACAATACAGAAGAGGAAAGTGATGTAATGCATTTGATTTGGCTTAAAATATTGAAGCATAACTTCATTGAAGATGGCTCCCAGTAAAAATAGAAATGAAAACAGGGTATCACAGTTGCCTGATGTCCCAGTTACAAGTTGTTCCTAGTTTGAAGAATTATGGATAGATTTGCATACCGTGGCAAATTGACCTAGTATGAGCATAGTCTGGGTTTATACAGGGTTATCTTGAATAGTTTTAGTGTATATATAAATCCAGGATATTGTGTATCTGTTTCCTTAGTTCCTATATATTCAATCCCCAATTAGGGGTATTGTGTTATCTTTTACCTTAGTTCCTCTATATACAATCCCCTATTTAGCTGTCTGGCGTATACAACTGGGCGCTTGATTGTGATCCTGGATAATTTTTGGACTACCCTGGCTCATAACCTGGAATCAACACTCCATGGATGACGGTACAGGTTTGTGTCTTCAGTCTTATGTTGACCGTGGAGTTTCTTGTAGAGATGAGACACTGAAATACAATAGATGGTGTGTTACTAAGGATTAATAAGGGGCTTGCGGGATTTGTTATTGTGTGGATATTGATTTTGCTTTAAAAATATCATTGTACAGTATGGTGTTGCATTTCTCAGCATAACATAGCTGTTTCAATGCCGGTCCTTAATTATATTGTCAATTTTGTGCATTGCTGCCTCCTGGTTAAATTTATAACCTTGTTAGTGTTTACAATTACGTCCAACTCTCAGAGTTGTGGTTCAATCTTTAATTTATTTTTTCAAAATTCACTGTTAGGAGTAAAAGTTCTTATTGTATGAATTGTACTAGGTAAATTTTAATTTAAAGTTATTTGATATTTTATTTATATACATAAAAATTCATGGAAATGTAAGAATGAGAGTAATTAATTTAACAATTGAAATAATGAGAAATGTTTTTTTTATAAAGTTATTTATAGTGTAATAATGAGTGTAATTGAACCGGGTAAATATTGAGCTTGGCAGACTCCATAGGTCAAATTAGATGAGGTTTTACCTCCTTTAATTACTTGTTCTATGGTGTATCATAAATGGAATTGAATTATTAAATCGTGTATCATGAATCTGTATTTACTCGCGTATTATTAAAATAAGGAAGTCAGAAATGAAATCTGTCCTGCCCCATCAGTATTTGTCTAACTTATTTTATAGGGTAAATAATTTTAATTTAGGTAAATTACTTAAAGTTAATATTATTTTTAATATAATATTTAAATTTTATTAATTCACTCAAAATAATTATTGTAATAAGTTAGATCAATCATTTAATCAAACTTGTACTTATCTGTTTATTTCTGCATTATTATCTATATATAAAAGAAAACTTTTATATATTTTTTAAAATTGTAAAATTGATGTCCATTTTTTACTTTGATTGTGATTATTGTTTTATTTAATTTCTCATATTTTTTTCTATAACTAATTGTACATGATTGCACATATTTAAATATTATAATATTACCATAAAATTATAATATTATAATATAATAAGTTTTTGATAAAACATAACAAAATATGTTATTAGATCAATAATAAAACAATATTTTTATTATATATTATCTTTTATGACTGTTCTATTATAAACTATAAAAAATCAGAATTTATATTTTTATAAAATTTCTATAACTAATTAGTTATTGTTTTATTCCTATATATACCAGTATGAATTATAATAGGCAATACAGTTACAAATTAGAGGTACAATTTTTATTTGATATACATATATCACTGAAAAAAAATATTTCCACAGTATTATTACTAATTACACGCATATACACCAAGATTAATTATTATATTAGAAATATATAATTTATAATATTATTTTAAAAAATTCATTATGACAATATATAAAGACATCTTTGACACTTCAAATTTAAACACTTAAGGTTAAATTATAACATATTACGATAATGTATATAATCTGAAAATTTTTATTGAGTAAATTAATTTTATTAAAAAACTTTTAGGTACTCCATTGCATTATTTTATTTTAATGAGTATTATATTTTTTAAAATATAAGTAAATATTAAATTTTAGATAACATACTTACAAATATTTAAATTATATGAAATTTAATTTACATAATTATTAAGAATATAAAATCATTTAATGGTCAGATATATTAATTTAGTATTTTATAAAACGTAACTAAGTAGTTTAAGTATCTAAATTTATCACTTAAAGTTTATGTATATATATATAACTAAAATTCTATCTCCATTTTAAAATTTCAAATTTGATAATAAATTTTAATTATTGTTTTGTCTATTTCTTTACATTTTATTCTCTCATCGATTATAAATTTTTTTAATTATTATAAGTATACAAATATAATTACTATGCTCAATATCTTTTATTAGTTTTATTTATATATAAATGATAAATTTTAATTAAAAATAATGTAGAAAATAATAAATTTATTTATTTATCACCATAAAAACTAAATCATCTAACTCAAGCCAAACACTTTTAATCCGATTGGATTATAATGAATTTAAAATCCAAATTGAATCACTATATTTTTACAACTGTATTATATAACTTTTTGCTAAAATATTGATCCAATTCAGTTTGAAATACTCTGAATTTGGATTATTAATAAAAACAATTATAATAATGACTTGCTAAGTTGATTAACGAATTATGATAAAAAATTATTAAAAATGCACTAGAAATTGCGCTAAATGTGCATTAATTTTCCAAACATTCACTATCGCAATTCCAATCCTACTAGACTTGTGTTGTGGAGATTGCATCTCTCATGGCATTGGAGTCATCATCTGAGTTTAAATGTAACAGTCAGTCCCCAGCATCCACATAGATATCATTCATTCTGTTTTCTACTTTTACTTAGTTTGATCTAGCTGTTTTCTGAAATAAATTAAAGTTAAATTGTCCATAATATGTCATTTCCTAAGCAAGTTTCAATTTTGCTGTTGATATTTTATTGAAAATTTTACCCAGCTACTTTTATAACCTTTTAGTCAATCATATACGTGTTTCACAGACCAAGCAAAAATAGTGGTGCTCTTTTTCTCTATCATTGAATTTGCTTTTTCATTTAATTAATAATCTTCCAAAGAACTGTAGTAATTAGTAAGCCTGAAGGGCCTCTTTTTTGTGTTCATGCGCGCACATGCATGTCCCTACTCTTTCTCACTGAATTTAAAGGATTCTTACACCATTTTTCGTACTTTCAATGGTTCCCTCTTCATTATACCCAAACTTGGCAGTCCTATACCTTAAGAACTTTCCATTAACTATTAATCTTTTTACGCTTTGTAAAAGCTAGCCCTTTTCATATATGATGTATCAAAGTCCAAAAAACTACCAAGGAATGTGTGCATCTCATGTATGATGTATTGTATCAGAACATATAATTGTGTGTGATTTTATATGATCTTGCTGAATTCTCCAATGAATCAACTACATAAAGTACTGCTTTTTTAGCCATTATCATATATCCTACTTTGACCTAAACAATATTTATGCATCTTAATTTTTAGTGGTTTGGGTATGTCCAACCCATGAGCCACTGTGGTTTAATTTTTCAATGTAAGGGATTGGTGAGAGTAATGACATCCAAGTGGAGTGGAGGACCCTATTAATGGCCCATAATCATATAGTGACTTTTGAAGGTGCTTTTTGAGATTTACCCTATTCCACATGAAGCATGCAGCCGGCAAATGGGAAAAATGTACCTAAAGTGAACCTACACTCATATAGCACAAATCATTATTTCAAGTCTGCATTCTCCTTGAGCCTTAGCTTCTTTGACTCTGCAAGTTGGACTCTTCGGGAGCTTTTTGTTTATTGTGTCTGCATTTCTTAATTGTTGAGACGGCAAAGGACAAGGAACTGCTGAATCGGTTCCTGCTTTTGGTCAAAAGTATGTTGTAAATCATAATTCTTCAATTTGATTTTAAAAGATTATTATAAGTTTCTGATTACTGTATGGTTTCTTTATATATATTTTTTAATTAAAGATCATCTTCTCCCCAGTTTGATTTTGAAAAGGTTTTAGGTAGAAAACTATCCAATTGAATATAAAAAACACTACAGTTCAGTTTGAGTTGATTTAAATATAATTTCAAATATGATCAAGTTTATTTAGATTGAAAAAAAAAAATCATCGGATGGTTTATTTTGTTGGTTCTTAGTTCCTTTTTTTTTTCAGCCAATGCTATGTAAAATACCATATCAATAGATAAAAACTATTTTACAACAAAATCAATATATTATTAATGCCATAGCCACAATACACAATTCAACATTCTAGGTAAAAACCTTAAATTATATAATGACTTGCTTAAAAAAAATTTATTTATTATTTCCCTGTATCATTTATCATTGAAACTTCTTCAATATACACCACAAAAGATACATAATAAATACAAAAAAAAAAAAAACTCATAATTAATAAACTTATAAAAAATTAAAATAGCAAAACATGATTGAAAAGAAAATAAATTAGTGTAATAGTTGCATAAATATGTATTTATTTAAGTATAAGGCGTATATCAATTTTATAAATAATGTGTTTATAATTTTGATATAAATAAAATCAAATCGATTCTTAAAATAAAATCTAATTGAGTAAACATTTTTTATATATATTCAGTTTTAAAATTATTTAGTTTTCAACCTTTTACTTCAATTTTGTAATATATAATTAAATATGATGGTTCTATAAATATCCTGGTACAAGCTGGGTGTGAATAATTTAGTTTCCGAATTGAAATATTCTATTGACGATTGAAACATTGAATGAATCAAATAATAGAGAATTGGATTAGATAACTGAGCCTATATCATTCTTTTTGTGCTAGATTTCGTCCAACATTATTAATTCAATTAAATAAAATTATCTCATTCAACAAATTATATGTAAATTAATACAACTCACTAATTTTTAATATAACAATATATATATATATATATATATATATATATATATATATATATATGCAACTTTCATATAGAGTAAGGTAGTTTAGTTTCTCGAGTTACAAACGATTTAATAATTATTTAATTTTATAAATTTGTAATATAAAATATATAGATAATGTTTATAATAAATATTTTATATAGATAATAATATAATAGTATAAGAATATATATCATATGACATGATATTGATAGGTTCAAGAAGAAAAATAAAAGTAAACAAATTTATTTATAGTAATGTAGAGAGAGATAACATAAAATAAATATCTTAAACAATCCTTGGTTTATATTTTGGTGTTTTTTTATTAAAAAAGGTGGGTCCTACATGAGTGACTGGTGGAACCTCCACTTGTCGCTGTGTTTGGTGTCTTGTGGTCTGAAATATATTATTGACAAAATAAAAAACAATTAGATAATGGTGAGAACCCCCCATTAGGGGTGAGGTACACGTGGCAGTGCCTCCGCGCCGAAAATTTGATGAAAATTAAATTAAAATAAAAAGGAAAAACGTCACACTCGTGAATGCTGTCATGTTTATTATTACTCTAGTCAAAGAGGGTGAGCAATACACTTCTTCTGCCGTTTTATTTTCTACGATAAATTGGAAAATTATTCTAAATTTATGAAAAATTTTATTAAATAAAATGTAAAACATTCATAATTTTATGTTTTTTATAACAAATCTTAGTTAATGGAAATACCTGTATTTAAAATAATATTTTAAAATGTATTGAAATCTATTGGGAATGATTATTCATCGTTTAATATCAAATATGGGTAAAAATATTTCTAATAAATAAATGTATACTTAACATATTTTAATTATCCATATAAAAATTGCTTTCCACAATTTTATGAATATTAAATTTTCCCTTGGAATTTTTTAATTTTAATAATATTTATCAAAAAATAAATTGATTAAAAATAATATAATTACTGAACACATAAATTAGTTAATCTAAACTATTTTGGATTAATTTATACTCTTAAATTCAAGTGGCTTTACGCTGATAATAACCTTGGTCGATACAAAGATGCGTGGTCATTTTAAATAAATAATAAATATAAAAAATATAAATTTAATATTATTATTATTATTATTATGGCTGGTTCATTTTTATTCTCAAATGTTTTGTTTTCTTAGGGTGAGTGTGATCATAATATCACGCACATATGATTTCGTTGGATAGTTGAAGTAAGGCTTAAGAAACACTCTCGTTTATAATAGATGTTTAAATATTTATATCACTTTAGCAAATTTCAAAGTGTAATTTCTTATAAACTACTCAACTTTTATCGCTGCTAATTTGTAGTAGATTAATTTTCACTCCCCAAACAAAATTAATAGCTTAACTCCCAAAATGAAATAAAGGAAAGCAACATCACAATTATAATTTGCATAAAATTCAAATAAATGGGAGAATATAAAGATGCATGAGTCATTTTTATTGAAATTATGGCATCTTATTCCTGCTCAGAATAGTAATTTTGTTTGTGCGCCACAATCTTCCTTTTGTTTTGCACTTGCATGATTTGTGACATATATTCAAAGATTTTATTATTAGTATGATTATAAAGCATGTGTGAGATATGATTTTGTTAATATATTATTTATTTAATTTGCGGAGGTTAAATGTCTCCATTTTTCTTCAAACGACATTTCTTTCTTACTTTCCTTGTCGTATCCTCGTTCCCACTTTACAAGCATGGAAGGTTGATCGAAAAATACTCCGTGGTTATTTGGTTTTATAAAATATTTTTTCATTTTAAATATAAAATTATTTTTTTAAAGATTTGTATATGAATATATTATACAAATTATTAAAAATAGTAAACATGAGAAAAAATAAACTGATAATTTTATAATTAAGGAATAAATAAATTTTTAGTCTCTAACTTTTTAATTTTGTTATTAAAGCTTACTTTTTTAATTTAATATTTATAGACAAAAAAAAATTATATAACAGTTTTTGTACAAAAATCTATTTTCATTTTTTTATTTACCATTATATATCTTAACATGTAAATTTAAATTTTCTTTTAATTTTTATGCAATACTTTTTTTATAATTTACTTCTTATAAATAAATAAAATTTATACATGTGCAAAAATTTATTTTTATTTTTGTACTTGTTGGTAATATTTTCACATCCATGTCAAGTAACATTTTATTATCTTTAGAGAAGTATTGAATATTCTATTAAAAAAAGTCTTATATATTTGCTTTATAATTTTACATGTTGTGTCTTAATTCATCTTTACATGAGTATCATTTTTAACATTTTTACTTTTAGTATCACTACATTTTTATTTTTTTGTATTATTATCATAATTATTATCACTTTTCCTATTATCTTAATCTTAATATTATGATAGAAATACTAAATATGATACTCATGTAAAATTGAATCAAGACATAAAATCTTTTTGAGATGATTCTTACACGAGTTATAACAAAAAAATATTAACTTATATAATAAAATTAGATGTAAAAAAATATTTTTTTAAAAATATTCAAAATACTTGTAAGATAATAAAAAAATATTACTTGATATTAATATGAAAATGTCACCATAATAATAAAAAATAAAAAAAACTATATGAGAACTAATATGTAAATCTTTTTATTTGTTAGAACTAAATTATAAAAAAGAGGATTGTATAAAAAAGATTGTTAGATAATTGTTTATCAATCATAAGAATGAACTAAAGTGCTTTTAATAATTATAACGACAAAGAAAAAATTAAAAATATTTTTTTTACCTAAAAACTAAATTATAAAAGAGGGTCTTTTACAGGAATAAAATTGATTTATTTCTATAACTAAAAAAAACTGAAATGAATCGGCACCTTAAAAATGATCTCTTTTGAGTCTGTTGAAAAAACTCAAATATATAATTATTTTGTGATTTGTGCTGAATTTATCAAGGAAACTGAAAAAATAAAATAAAATAGAGTGAGTCGTGTTGAATGATTCCTACTTACTATATCCCTTTTATCAGCTAAAATAAAATTATAAATAAATATATTTTTAGACCTATTATTTAATATAGATATCTTCCATCGATAATTATGTTCAAAATAAAATAATTCTCTACCTGTTGATAAAATGCTTGGTGGAAGACGAGAGCTCATTTTGCAATAATAATATTACAGAGAGTTGTTTTGCAAATTTTGAAAAACTTGTTCTCATAACCACAGTAAAAGTAAAACGACCCTTTAAAGCATTGAAAATAGAGAGGGTAAACAACATATTATATTTGGGCAGAGGAAGATATGAAAGAAGGACCACTTGAGTGTTCCATCTTTCAACAAAGCACCGTATGTTAGGTTCACCGCTTCATCTCGCTTTTTTATGTTACGTTTCCTTTTTCTCCTTCACACTCGCTCATATGATCCACTCATTAAAAGAAAACAAAACTACCTACATCATTCAGAATATATCACTTTCCGTTTTCTTTTTCTTATATCCAGAATATGCCATTTTAGAGTTTATTCTATGCACATTTCAATTTGCCTTTTCTTTAACACTCATAATGTTCAACGGAACCAAACTTTGCAAAACACTAGTACATATTTAGCACTTCTTCGTAAATTAGAACAAAAATGATTGACGTCAAACGAGTATCTTACTTACAAAAATTAAAAAAAAATTCTAAATCATATTTAAAGCAAACGTTAAATTATTGATTGGACGTAGCTATAGTTAAAAATAGAGTGCATTGCGCTATTTGTTTTAAGAATTATACATTATGATATCCTATTTTTAATTTTGAAAATTGCATTTTCTTTTCCTAATATTGAACTTTATAACTTTTGTAACATCATACTCTTTAAAATAATATGGTATTAAAAATTAACTATTAAAAGTTGTAAATGAAGGAAAATATTTCTGAAGATTTGATTTATGATCATTCATAATTACTAAGAGATTTATTTATATTATATAAGCTAATTATAACACATGCTCATTCATTTAAGAAAGAAAGCGAGGTTTTTAAAATAATAATAATAAAAGGACAATATAACTAAAATATCTCTTGTATAGAGGATTTAAAAGCCATTAAGAGGCCTTATCTTTATAATAAATTATAGAAGGAAACTGACATTTTTTACAATTTCTGCATTCCTAAAATAAAGTTTTAGAAAGCTTCATACATGATACGGTTTTTGATTTTTAAAATAATTTAATTCAAAGACTAATTTTAGTATATTTTTATTTTAAGCATTTTTATACTATTGATTAATTAAAATATATTATAAATATAATTTTTATATTAATTGTTATAAATATTTAATTTTTTATTAATATGACAATGTTTAATTAATGAGAATGTAAACAAATCTTCACGCTGTCGAAGTATTTAAGTTAAAAATTTTAATTTATAAATGAAAAAAAATGATGTTTGAACATTTTATATACAACGATGGTGCTTTCACATTCTACTAAAACGTAAAAGTATAAGAGATAAAAAAAAAAAAAAAAACGTTATGTGAAATGATAAAAAAACAAATATAAATAAAATATAAAAATGAAAATTATTTTATATAATAAAGATACTTGAATAAATATTGTGCAGTGTGCACGAATATATGAATAACTGCTACTTCATATTTTACTTCTAAGATATATCATTGATTTTTAAAAGTTCAAATCCGTTGGCTTGAAGTGTCTGTGATGGTAACACTGAAGTAATGTCATTCTATGTAATTTTTTTAAAAATAAATTACATTCACATTTAATAAAATTTTATTTTAATATATATATATATATATATATATATATATATTTACCTTACATAAATCTCTTAATTTATGTAATAGGATAATACTGTATATTTTTCTTGATTATACAATTGTTTTAAATTTTGAATATAAATCTAAGAGTGTAAAGAAGTTGAAGTACTGTACACATATGTATATATAAAACCAAATTGTTTTTGTTAAATCTTATAGACTATGAATGTAATTTGTCTTTTTGGAATAATATAAATTATGAATGTTTAAAATTAGTTTGACTGCATGAGCATGAATGTTTATAATTAAAAATAGAATTAAAATGTAAAAAGTAGTTAACAAATGATGGAATAAGAAATAAATCAATTTATATTTAAAAAAAAAGAAAAATAGATATGAAATTGGAAAGTGGGTACAACGAAGGTTGAAAGGAAAAGGAAAGGGAAGGGAAATGGATAGGTGTGAGAAGTTATAATATATTAAAAAGAAGAGAGAGAGAGAGAGAGAGAGCAAAGGCTAGAATGGTGTGGGATGATGGGTGGAATTGGAATTGGAGGTGCAGAGAATAATTGAAAGTGAGAGTAAGATGCAATTGCTCTGCTCTCCTCTCTTTCTCAGCACAAATACTTTCACTTCAAGGTCACTCTCAACTGCCAACGCCATTTTTTTTTTTTTTTTTTTTTTTCCAATTTTTCTATAATAATAATAAATGGATCTTTCTTCAGTTTTGCTTAAGCAAGTAGATCTGATCAAATCTAATCAGTTAATTCAATATTTGAGGGTTTGGATTACAGTTACAGTGATTGATGGCTTCTGCTAGCCTTGGGAGTGGTGGAGTGGGGAGTTCCAGGTCCGTTAATGGTGGCTTCAGGGGTTCATCCAGTTCCGTCGATTGGCTTGGCAGAGAGATGCTTGAGATGAGATTGAGAGATCACGAGGACGATAGGGTCAGTAACTTCCTCTATCACCCCCCCCCTCTCTCTCTCTCTCTATTTTGCCATTTAATTTAATAAAGGATATCAGTTATTGTTGCGATTGATTGCTTTTATTTATTTTCTGTGTCTGAGTGAGGGCACTTTTGTATCATACCCTAAATGAAATCAAATAAATGCTGCAATCTAAATTTACTGTCTCCCGAAATTTGAATTATTATTTTTCGTAGCCTTTTCATGTTTCTGTTTCAGTCAATATGAGTTGCTGCTGTTTTATGCTTTGCAGGATAGTGAGCCTGACATCATTGATGGAGTGGGTGCGGAGACAGGACACGTGATAAGAACCAGCATTGGTGGCCGAAATGGTCAATCTAAGCAGGTAAAAAAAATTATGGGTCGTTTGGTATTAGAAAACTATGTGGTTATGGGATCTTAGTTGAACTAATGACGATAAATAACTTCGCTGACGTTTCCTTTTTTGTTTGAGTTGACAGAATGTTAGTTATATTGCTGAACATGTGGTTGGAACGGGCTCTTTTGGTGTTGTTTTTCAAGTGAGGCAGAACGACTTAGTTTGCTTTTGATATCTTTTGCTAACACCATGCTGTTAATGTATGATATGTGGATACCTTTATCATTTTATTAATGGTCTTATCAGGCAAAATGTAGAGAGACGGGGGAGATTGTAGCCATCAAGAAGGTTCTCCAGGACAAGCGCTACAAGAATAGAGAGTTACAAATTATGCAAATGTTGGATCATCCAAATATTGTTGCCCTCAGGCATTGTTTCTTTTCAACGACCGACAAAGAAGAACTTTACTTGAATCTTGTGCTTGAATATGTTCCTGAAACGGTGAATCGTATTGCAAGGAACTATAGCAGGATTAACCAGCGAATGCCTTTAATATATGTAAAGCTTTATACCTACCAGGTGTGTAATTGCTTGCTTCTCAGTTAGAACTGGGAATGAAAAACTGGAAATATATATAAAGAATATCAGGAGAGAATCCCTCAAAGTATTTAACTATTGTAAATAACCTACATATATTGAGATGTTGTTACAATAATATATTATTGGCCCATCACACTCATCTCTTTAATCCCTGCGTAATTTTATTTCTTAAAATTTCATTTTAAGTTCCTCAGCTTTAGCTTTAATTGATCTGAAATAATTTGAGTTCCTGTTTCACATATGAAATTCTTTTTCAAAAGAATTGTTTATGCCAGAAAAAATAATAATGAATATTGCTTTTTGTATATGAGCAGTAAATTTGCAGAGGGAAAGAAGAGTAAATGTTTGTGGAATTTAGAGTTACTCATTTTTAAACCCGTATTTACTTCTTTTCTCTGTTTTGACTGCAGATTTGCAGGGCCCTTGCTTATATCCATAATTGCATTGGTATATGTCATCGTGACATCAAACCTCAGAACCTACTTGTAAGATATTGCAAGTTATTGATTTGTTTGTTATGTGGAACTTATTTGGCACAGTCAATACCTCATAATGGACTTGATATTCTTATCTAAAATAAATGAGCTGAAAGGAAAACATTACTGAAATGTGATTAATATTGTGTGATCAACAACAATCAAGCCTTTTCCTATTAGATAGATTGGCTACATGATTTAATTGTCATAATGTTTTATTATAAATCATGTCTATAGACAAACTATTACCTATAAATTCTTTTTAATGGTTTTGCCTATAGCTCTTATCGGTCTCCCTTTGCTTTGAACAATTGGGTTACGTTTCATCTAATCTACTCTTCTGACTGGGGCTTCTACATGTATTCTTCACTTATGCCCCTAGAAATTAATATTTTATGATCATAAACAAAAAAATAGTGGAGGATAGTTATCCATGCTGCTTATTCTGTTCAACTTGCTTGCTTTGTTGGAGTCTATTCCTATCCAACATGAAAGATATATGAAGTTTTTAGAACGTTCTCCATGAAAAGGGAAATACAGACTGTTAAGGGACAGTGCTTTTCTGAGAATTTGCTTGTTGTATGTCAATTTGAAAGCTGCATTCTTTAGAATATCTTGCTAAACAAACCAGAGACTGGGATGCCCTGTTATTTTTGTTTCTTGTGTTAAAACCTGACTTGTAGGGGAAATAAAGTGGGGTTTCTGAGATAATTAGATACTTCTAGCTCTTACTCTATGACTATGGCATACCTAACTAGAGGATTTTTTTTTTTCACTTTTGACCAAGTGTTGAATTGGATATAACCCACCTTAAGGGGGGTATCCTGTTGGTTGCATATGTAGGATCCTTTCAATCGCCCAATTGTCTTCTACTATTCAGTGTGAATTTAAGTTTTGCTTAACCTATCTGAAAGATGATAGAATTTTATATGCCAAATATACCCATGTTGCCATTAAATACTATTTGTAGTGCTCAAATGGATGTTACTCATGTCAGGTGAACCCACACACTCATCAGCTGAAACTATGTGATTTTGGGAGTGCAAAAGTATTGGTAAGATATTGAACTAAGTGCACTGTTGGTTGATGGAAGCTACTGTTTTTCCCCCCCCCCCAGTTTCATCCATGTTCTAATTCACCAGGTGAAAGGAGAACCTAATGTTTCTTACATCTGTTCAAGATACTATCGTGCCCCGGAACTTATATTTGGGGCCACTGAATATACAACTGCCATTGATATATGGTCAACTGGCTGTGTAATGGCTGAATTACTTCTTGGGCAGGTAATTTGATGCTTGAAAAAATGTCACAATATTTTTCTCATTGCATCATTTCTTTGTATCTTGTCTTCTTTTTCATTTTCCCTGAAGTTCAAGTTGATTTGCAGCCCTTGTTTCCTGGAGAGAGTGGAGTTGATCAACTAGTCGAAATCATCAAGGTATGGATTTAACATCCATATTTTTCAATTAATTGGGATTTGGGCTATCCTAGAATTGTGTAATTCTTGAATATTCAATAAATTGTGAAATATTTAATTTAGACATCATATGTTATGTAAATTCAGTTGGATCTGCCAGAAATGGTATATGTTCTGAGGATTTGTTTTTTCATTTCCTCTACATTCTGGTTCCAGGAAAGGGATAAATTTTTATTTTGTTTTTGTGTAAAGATATCCAGTCTTAAATTTACAGATACTTTTCTATTGCTTGCTGAACTTTTCTTGGTTTGAGAGGGATAGAATGCAGAAGCAGCCAAATTTCCTTCACTTATACATTTTGTAATTTAGATTTCCCTAGTTCTGTTATTGTTATAATAAAGAGTCATGAAATATTACAATCTAATTATTTTTATTTCAGGTTTTGGGAACTCCAACCAGGGAGGAGATAAAGTGCATGAATCCAAATTATACTGAATTTAAGTTTCCACAGATAAAACCTCATCCATGGCACAAGGTTCACTCTCGTGTGCTTGCTTACATTCTTTAATTTACTGTGAATGTTTGTAGTTATTCATGATTTAGGTTAAATTCTATTATGCTAGTCTTTTCGTATAGGTGATAAATGTTAATCATTAGCCTGTACTTGTACTTCATATTTCTTAGATTATATTTGTGTCAACATTTTCCCTTTGATGACATTTGCATGCTTTTCCTCTTGCAATTTTGAGATCATTGGCCAAGCTGGGTGATTGAGCTGCTTGACTTAATTTCTGGTTCTGGGATGTGTAGAGTCCTGTCTTATTACCATTCAGTACCTTGAGTGTAGATTGTTTCTGAAAAGGGAGATTTTTCATATTTCATATAAATGAGAAGCACAATCCTTTCTACAGTTGTATCTCCTCCCCATCCCAACGCCATTTTTTCCATAACAACAGTCATAAAAAATGAATAATCCCTTCAAATATTTTGCATTTTGATAAAAAATAATTGACGTTAGTATTAATGAAGCAGTCTTTTTTGTCCAAGGATTTCAATGAGTTTAACCTGACAAGTTTTCTGTATTATTTTCTCCCCAAAGCAGCAGAGTTTACCTGTAGTTTCCTTATTTTTCTGCATTTAGTTTCTCCTCACTATATTTTCTCTTTATTTGATTCATCTATGTATGCCACTTCCTAGTTTTAGTTTAACTGTACATATTGCAGGATGATTTAAATTATGTGGTTGAGTTATTATGACATAAGACTGCCGCCCAGGATTCATGGCCTGGTAAGGCTTGGGTTTGGATCAATCTTGACAAATGTCAAGGGCCATGTGAGATTAATGCAATAATGGTAGATTAGTGTAGGTAGATATTCGGCCTTATTTACCCTTCCTAGTTCCTTTCCCAGAGTTACCAGGAGTGTGTAACTGTATTTTTTCAGAAGTTCATACATCCCAATATCAGGGATAGGCATTAATGTCTGGGTTGAATCAATATGGTTACAAATGATTCCCTTTAATGCATGCGTGTGTGGGAAGCTATTCAATTTGAGCATATGTAAAGCATTGGTAAAACCTGTGTGAATGTCTAACCTGCATTACTTAAAAGGATTCTTGGTTGCTTGAGAGATTTAATATGAGGTTATCCTAATTTGACAGGTCTTTCAGAAACGTTTACCCCCAGAAGCAGTGGACCTTGTCTGTAGGTTCTTTCAGTACTCTCCCAATTTGAGATGCACTGCAGTAAGTTGAACGTCTCCACTTTTTATTGTTGTTTTCATTTGTGATCTTGGATATACAATTATTATAAAATTATTTGACGATCACCCTATTATGGCACTGCAGTTGGAAGCTTGCATTCATCCATTCTTTGATGAATTGAGGGACCCAAACACCCGCCTTCCTAATGGTCGCCCGCTTCCTCCACTGTTTAATTTTAAACCTCAGGGTGAGTTTAAGTACTCCCTCACACATCAGCACAATCTAGTAATGAAGTTTCCTTAAATGAGCTTTATTTAAAAAAGCAGTGCCAGTAAGCCAATAATAGAATGGTCTCTCAAAATTGACGTATTATGTTAGCTTTAGCCCTATAATTTGAGGTTAGGGTCATAAAAGAAATGTATGGTGTAAATTATGAATATATATAACTATAAGAGCATGTTTGGAAGAACTTAAAGACAATTTATGAAAATAACTTATGATTCCTGTAACTTTTTTTAACAACTTATTTCAGTAAGTTAATTTCAATTTATTTCAATAAGTGTCATGGTTAAATTTATAATATAAGATGTCACGTAAAAAGAGTTTTTATAAGTGCTTAACTAAGTTGTATATCTAAACATTCACATAGTACAAATAAAAATGAGTTTTGTTTTACCAAAAAAAATAAAATGATTATGGGCATTTTAGCTTCAAATATCGTCAAGCCTTGAACCACAGTCCATGTCTTCGTGAGAGAATCCCTAGTCTTCATTCCGTCCTAGGCCCGGATGATATATACCCAAAAGAATGAGCTTTTGGTTTTTGCATTTATTATTCCATGGTGTTTAATTTTCTGTTTGTTCGTTCTTTTTTTGGTGATCTTTTTGTTGTGTATTCATGTAGAACTTTCTGGTATACCTCCTGATGTGATCAATCGGCTTATTCCGGAGCATGCTCGTAAACAGAACTTATTTATGGCTTTGCACACCTAGCATTTTCCCCTCACTTGTCGTCATCTACTAGCAGGCTGTAAATTATCCGGTGCATCTGAGACAACTCCACAGAAAGAGTTCCTAGGATTATATTATATATAGTACGAAAAGTTTTTTTTTTTTTTTTTTTGAATTTATTGTCAACGTTGTTGTTTTCTATTCTTGCTCTGTAGACAACGTTTTCATGTATATTTATCTCGTACATGTGCCAGCGGTTATTCTAGGCCCTTTGTTACAAGTTGTAAGACGATAGTATTAGGTTAGACAATATAAGACATGATAGTATAGTATAATTAATATACACTGTCTCAGTTTTTATGCTATACATCGTTTGATGTGTCTTGTATGACTGAATAATTTATCCTTGATAGTATTTGTTGTCCAAATCATATTAAGCTTTTGTAGGATAAAATAATTTATGGATAACTGCATCATCATACGTAAATGTTTCATTTCACAGATTTATGCCTAAAATAATCGCCGCCCACATCTAATTAGAAAATTACTTTTTGTTATTCATGTGACTCTTGAACTATTAATTAAAAAAAAACATGTTAATGGACAAAGAATGAATAATACCCAAGATTATTACTATTATGGTTTTCTTATAATATATATTTACCTACATATAATACAAGTTTTACATGTAATAATTTTTTAAAAAGTTTAAATAATGTTTGGTTTCATATATTTGATTCAAATTTATAAATTAATTTTTACATGTAAAATTTTTTGTAAATCAGTCTTTGTATATATATTTATTTTTAATTTAGTTTCTATTGTTAAGTTTAAAGTAAACAGTGTTTAATAAATAAAAGATTAAATTAAGAATAAATATACTGTAAGGTTTGATTTATAAATTTTTTACATGTAAGAATTAATTTACAAAATTTGTATCTTAATTTTGTAATTCACTTTTATCCTTTCCTTTATCTCAATCTCTATTTTTACTATCTTCATTCATTCTTTCTTTTTTCTCTGCGCAAACTTCAACGGAGGATAAAGTATATTTTTCTGGTAGCTTCTCATTCTCAAAACTTAATCAACTCTTAATAATCTTTGCTAAGTTCTTTTCTCTTCTCAACCACTTTACCATATTCACCCTTACTCTCACCCACACCTACTTATTCCATAACAAAATCCCTCATCAAAACTCTCTCCGTCTTCGAATGCACCTTCATAAGTGTTGCTAACAACAGAACCACCAACGCATTCATCTATGCTTTTATCTACTCCCTTAACATCATCAAAATTGAGATACAAATTAAAGGTGTATTACAAATTTACAAAAATACTTTTGACTCATATTTCTATATGTAAAATTTTGTAAGTTAATCCTTACATGTAAAAAATTTGTAAATCAATTCTCATATTATATTTATTTTCAATTTATTCCTTTATTAATTTAAAATTGTTTACTTTAAACTTAACAGCAGACACTAAATTGAAAATAAATGTGCATATAAAGATTGATTTATAAATTTTTTACATGTAAAGACTAACTTACAAATTCAAGTCAAGTATAGGAAAACTTTTTTAAAATTATAAAATTTAATGTATATGTTATACTTTTTAATAAAAAATATTAATTTTTAAATTTGTGTTTTGTAGTACACATTAAAAAAATTATTGTCATTAAGAATAATTTTGAATTCTTTTGCTTGTTTTGTTTATAATTTATAATTATTACTTAAAAATAATTTAAAATATTCTTTATTCATTTGTGTGTGTTACGAAAAGCTTTTCACAAGATCGTCCACTAAGAATCAGGCATTGTTAACGGATTAATGTTTTCTAGCAAAGAATTCAAGAAAAATATATTATAGAAGAATCCAAAAAGATCACGATGGATTAGTCTTTCCTCGCAATTGAATTAAAGAAAAATATACTAAAAAGAATCCAAGAAAGATCATGATTGGTCAATTTTCAATTTGATAAAGTTTGTATGAAACATTTCCCATTAAATAGCAAATCTCTTTTTATAAATTTCTCCTCGTGTTGTTCGTAAAATTGCATAAATATGCCTGAGGCGGGGGGAGGGGAAACTTGTAATTATAAATACTATAATCTTCTTATGCATCAAAGTCTAAACTAGCAAATTCATTGGTGATGCTAAAAAAGAGATATTTGTATAATCAATTGAACAGTTCAAAAATTATATTAAAAAAAAATAGCTTAATTAAAGAGAGGAATCTGTGATTTTAAATTTGAAAAGATAAGTAAATCCTCTGCGAGTAAACTTTTTCGGAGATTCGAAGCTCAACAAAATCTTGAAAACAAGTTTTATCCAAAAAAAAAATAAATTCAGTTTTGTAACTTGTTTTATGAATTTTGTCAGCTAAAAAATAAAATCGAAGTGGTAAAAGAGTGCATGAGATAATGAGTTATGTAATGTAAAGAGATGAAGAGAAAAAAAAAAACGAGTGAAAAATATTTTAACTCAAATATAAAGAAACAAATAATAGATAGGAAATAAAATCTCAAAAATAATGGAAATTGAGAAATTTGAGCAATCACTGTGCTTTGCTAATATCACGTGGAGGGAATTAGAAATGAAATGATTGATACCAATCGAACATAAATATTGAAAAAAAAAATGATACATGAGATTAGGAACGGTCAACGGTAAGTTATGGGTGGGTTCGGGTCCGAAACTAGCCAACTATTATTAATCACATCACTTAAAAGAATTTCAATTTTATTCAAAAAAAATTTTCGTATAAGCTTTAAAAAAAATTATTATTATTATAAAACTGTTTCTTTCACTTAAATCCTATATTAGGCCTTATTAAAATTTAGGAACAAAAACTTTTTGTTGAAAAAATATTTATAACAATTTTTTTAAGATAAAAACATATAATTAATATTTAGTTAGTTTTAAGTTACTATTTCATATAATTTTTTGCTTAACTAAAAAAAATGAAATTGAAAATAAAAATTATAGTAAGAAAAATTATATGCATGCCAAAATTTAAATTAAAATAAAAAATAGTCCAAAATCTGAATAATTAACATATCTCAATATAATAAAATTAAACTGTCAATTATTTTCGATAATAATAAACTAATTGCAAGCTACTAAAAAAACTCAATTAATAAAATATATAACATTAGTCTTACTTATCCATTATATATTATCAAATTATTTAATAATAATATTCACAAAAAATTATAGTAGCATTCACTCATATATGTCAAAAAACTCAAATTTAAAATACACCTATTAATGAAATATAGAGCAATAATCATATTCCACCATATTAACCAAATTATCTAAAAATTACATTTACAAAATTATATTTTAGTACTATTCATATATATAACTTGTTTTTCTTATCATAACAAAATATAGTTAGTTTTAATATAATCAAAGTATAACAATATTCGATAGGAATTATAAAAAAAAAAAAACAAAGTGAGTAGATTACCAAAAATTCAAATGACTAGTATGCATACTGGGTAGTGTTAGTGCACTAATAGAATTCATAATATGTAACATATCAAAATTATGATACATAATTCAAATTAGAATTCATAATCGATACTGTTAAATTAAATAAGAGAAAAATAAAAATAGAAGTTCACCTATAATTTACATTTAGCATTAGACATGTTATTACAACAAACACTACTAATTTAATTTGCAAATTCTAAAAGATAAAAAATAAAACTAATTAAAAATTAAAATGGTAGCAAAGGTAAATTATTCATGTAAATAAATAATTACTTGCACAAAATGTTCTTAGCTTATAAAGAAGCATGTTAGCAGTATATTTAAAAAATAAAATCGTAGCAAAGGTAAATTATTTATGTATTACATAAATAATTACTTGCACAAAATATTCTCAGCCTATAAGGAAGCATGTCAACTAACAATACTAGTTAAAATTACAAATTCTAAAACATAAAAAATTAAAAACTAATTAAAGAACAAAATGGTAGCATAGGGAATTTATTTATATAAACAAATAATTACCTGTACAAAATATTCTTAGCATAGCAGTAATATGTAGTCAGTTTACCAAAGTTAAAAAACAATGCACCTATTACACATGTCATCAAAGTGTGACATTGCCAAAAAATTGCATTCGAACACAAAACACTGCATGTATGGCAATAAATACAAAAAATTAATGCCAACAAAAATAGATCCTAAATGTTTAGGTAGAAGATATTACCTAGAATAGCCTATGGCTGTCCAAATGTTGCTGCTGCAGCAACAGATGCTAATCCAGGATGCCTATTTTTGCCCTTCTTTCCTTCTTTCGCATCTCAACAACAATCAAATAAACAACAGAAAAGTTAAACAGTTAACAATATATAATACACAAGTAAATTTGTATAATTTAAAAAGAAAGCAAGAATACCTTCCATAATTTTGCTATTAATCTCAAGCTCCTCATTGCATTCAGCTCTAAAAATATATTCAACCCTGATTTTAACCAATTTTGAGTAAACAACAGAGCTTCAGCCATCTCAGGACTTAATGAAGCCCTATAAACATCTAGCACTCTACCTTTAGTGCTAAAAACAGATGCAGATGCAACAGTTGATACTGGGGTGACCATAATATCTCTAAGCATTGTAGACAATACAAGAAACCTTGAGGAATTTGATTTCCACAAAATTAGAAGCTCAAAATTCTGGTCCCCATCTACACATGGCTCACTCAAGTATGTTTCTAGCTCATTATTTTTTTTGTCAATAAGGCTTTTTTCCTTAAAAAAGTGCTTAAAAGCATTAGCTGCCCTTTGAGAGGGCAATTCTGCTTGACTAGCAGATAAGATAACATAATTTGATGACTAGGAACAATGTTATGATTGAGAAGAACCCTTATTTCTCATAACATACCAATTATACATTCGGTTCAAACTTACTTTGACATTCCTCACATTTTCTAATGCAATAAAATGGTCATCATGGTACATTTGAGTGAAAGACCACTCCACAAATTGCATATTGAACCTGGGGTCTAAAAGCACACCATAATACAACAAATGGTTTATGTGATGTATATTTCTCCAATATTTATCATATATTTTTTTCATATCACTATCCATTTTTCTCATTTGACAATCAACATTTTGAATATGATCATAAATTTCATATTGTATTAATGCCAATTGATGGAAGGCATTGTGAAGAGTTAGAGTGTTTGATGCACAAAACAATTTGGTTGCATTATAAATTTTTTTTAGAAACTTCACAAAAACATGTGGATTGCCCAATCTATACATGTTGGGGCACCAATGCCCCCAAATGAATCTAAGTATGATGGGTCAAGAAATATAAGTCTCTCAAATGCTTCTTCAAAATTTTTAGTGAAATCCAACATAGTATACATTGAATTCCACCTTGTTAACACATCAAGACACACTGACAA